CCACAGCAAACATCGCAGCTACACCTGCAAGTACTTTGGATCCAACGTTCCCTGTTGAGTATACGTTGAAAAGACAAAGTTTGGAGTGTTTGATAGCTGTGTTGCAGAGCTTAGTTACTTGGTCACAGAAAGGATTTGTAGATGTTTTACAGGAGAATGCAGGGAGGGAGAGCCAGGACGGGAGGGACAGCATGGATAACACCTATATTTCACCACGGCTGTCTACTGTCGGCACTCCAATCATAGGAACACCATACCCAGAACTTGAGAGGTCTGTTTCGTCGGTGGATGTGAACGAGATGGTGGATGACCCGAGTCAACTTGAGAAGGCTAAGCAAAGGAAGACTGCACTCGTCGAAGCAATCAAAAAATTCAACTTTAAGCCCAAACGAGGGATTAAAGCATTGGTGGAAGGTGGATTTATAGAGTCCGAAACACCGGCAAATATCGCCGAGTTCTTACTGAAGAACAATAACAGTTTGGACAAAAAGGTGATAGGTGAGTATCTTGGGGAGGGGGATCCTGAAAATATAGCAGCAATGCACGCATTCGTCGATCAAATGGACTTCGTTCGCATGCGTTTCGTCGATGCTCTCCGTCGCTTCCTCCAGTCCTTCCGTCTACCTGGAGAGGCCCAAAAAATCGATCGTTTCATGCTGAAATTTGCGGAACGTTACATCAGCGGGAATCCAAATGCCTTTGCGAATGCAGATACTGCGTATGTGTTGGCGTATTCGGTCATTCTATTAAACACAGATCAGCACAGCGCTAAGCTAAAGGGGCGAGCACGAATGACACCAGATGAGTTTGTGAAGAACAACCGTGGTATCAATGATAATGCCGATTTACCACCGGAGTACTTACTCGCAATTTACGAGGAGATCCGAAACAATGAGATTGTGCTCGAAGGCGAGAAGGAAAGGGAGGCCGCAAGGGGTGCAGCAATCATCGAGAGTGGTGGCGGGATTGTCGAGGGTATTGGAAGAGTTCTAGCAAACGCCGGAAGGGATCTAGAAAGAGAGGCCTACGTTCATGCGAGTGAGGAAATGGCGAACAAGACAGAACAATTGTTCAAGACACTACTCAAGGCGCAGAGAAAGAACGGAAGTAGGCCACAATTATCAAAATATATCGCGGCGTCTTCCTCAAAACACGTGGGACCAATGTTTGAAGTGACCTGGATGTCGATATTATCAGGGCTTTCAGGAGCGGCACAGGATAGCAACGAGACTGAGATGATAAAATTATGTATGGAGGGATTCAAGCTCGCTATTCGAGTAGCTTGCTTTTTCGATCTTGAGACACCGAGGATTGCATTTGTCACTGCGCTCGCGAAGTTTACACATCTCAACAATCTCAGCGAGATGAAGAGCAAGAACGTGGAGGCTCTCAAGGTCCTACTTGACGTCGCACAGACAGAAGGGAACCTCCTCAAGACCTCATGGAGAGATGTGTTGACTTGCATCTCCCAGCTCGAACGCTTCCAACTCATCTCATCTGGCGTTGACGAGGGCTCAGTTCCAGATGTCACGAAGGGCCGTATCATCCACCCCGATGCCAATAGCGACGCAAGATCTCGTTCCAGCATGCAATCCCAGCGCCCTATGCGTTCACGGCCTAGAACACAGACCAATACACACTATGTTGCCGAGGTAGCAGAGGAGAGCAGGAGTCGTGAAGTTATTATAGCTGTTGACAAGATCTTTGCCAACACCAGTAAATTGACGGGAGAGGCTATCGTTGATTTTGTAAGGGCATTGAGTGAGGTGTCTTGGCAAGAGATCCAAAGTTCTGGTCAGAGCGAGCATCCTAGAATGTTCAGTTTGCAAAAGCTAGTAGAAATCAGTTACTACAACATGGGGAGAATCAGGGTTGAGTGGAGTAACTTGTGGAATATCCTGGGAGAGCACTTCAATCAGGTTTGTCCCCCTAAAGCATTACCCGAGAGGAATTGTGCTCTTGAGATTGGAGTTAATAAAGAACATAGGTCGGATGTCATACAAATACTTCTGTGGTTTTTTTTGCATTGGATTCATTACGTCAACTATCCATGCGATTTTTGGAGATCGAGGAGCTCCCACACTTTAAGTTCCAGAAGGACTTTTTGAAGCCGTTTCAACATGTTATGGCGAACAACGCAGTTGTGCCAGTGAAAGATATGGTATTGAGGTGTCTCAGCCAGATGTTGCAGGCAAGAGGCGACAAAATCAAAAGTGGTTGGAGGACTATGTTTGGAACTTTTACATACGCGGCGAAGGAGAACTATGGTATGTTGTTTTCGCTCAACGATTTTCTAAATTATAATGGGTATGCTAAAAGTGATTGTGGTTTCACAGACCAAATTGTGAATCTGGCCTTCGATAGCGTCAGGAAGATTTATAGCACCAGATTTGGTGTTGTTGTCTCACAGGGCGGATTTACAGACATGATCGTCTGTCTCACTGAATTTGCGAAAAATCAACGGTTCCAGAAAATCTCACTGCAAGCAATTGAAACGTTGAAGGGTACAGTTCCGGATATGCTTTCATGTCCGGAATGCCCACTTTCGCAGACGAAGAAGCCTGCCGCGCTCGGCGACGAACTTAACCCAGCAATGATAAGAACTGTGAAGGAAGATCCAATGATCAAGTTCTGGTTCCCGGTCTTGTTTTCTTTCCATGACATTCTCATGACGGGTGAAGATCTGGAGGCGAGGACAAGAGCCCTAGGTTATCTTTTTGATATACTTGTGAAGTACGGTGGGGACTTCCCGACGGATTTCTGGGATACAATATGCCATGAGCTTTTATTCCCCATCTTCATGGTGCTGAAGAGTCGGAGCGAGATGGCACATTTTAGTACCCAGGAGGCAGTAGGCATGTGGTTGAGCACAACTATGATTCAGGCGTTACGAAACTTGATCGCGCTGTTCACCCACTATTTCGACTTGCTGGAGAGGATGCTTGACGGGTTTTTGGACCTTTTGGTGACTTGCATCTGCCAAGAGAACGATACAATCGCAAGGATAGGCAGCAGCTGCCTACAACAACTGATCTTACAAAGTGTGAAGAAGCTAAGACCAGAACACTGGACAAAAATTGTATCGGCGTTCGTTCAACTCTTTGAGATAACCACTGCAGACCAGCTCTTCTCGGCGGCAACACAAGGGAGCAGTGCCAGGTCAGTGAGCGGAGCTAACCAGAGCCCACCAAATGAGCCAAAGGGGGCCTTCAATGATGCAGTCATGGAAGAGGATGCGGACGGAGAGAATGCGCTGAAGATTAACGGACTGTCGACACCTATGCTGGGCGACGATAGTTCTGATACTTCACCCGAAGGTCGAAACGCCCAGAACATCGATCTCGAAGACTACCGCCCTCAGCAAATGACTCAGCAGCCTGTAGTTACAGCCGCAAGGAGGAGGTTTTTCAACAAGATCATCACGAAATGTGTTTTGCAACTCCTTATGATTGAGACTGTCTCGGAACTATTCTCGAACGATGCTGTGTATAGTGAAATCCCAAGTACGGAGTTATTGAGGCTGATGGGAGTATTGAAGAAGAGCTTTACGTTCGCAAGAAGATTCAATAGCGATAAGGAGTTGCGCATGAAACTGTGGAGGGAAGGGTTTATGAAACAGCCACCGAATCTGTTGAAGCAGGAGAGCGGGAGTGCCTCAACTTATGTCAGTATCTTGTTGAGGATGTATCATGATGATCAACGAGAAAGGAGAGAGAGTCGGGGTGCCATTGAGTCGGCGTTGATTCCGTATGTTTAACCCTCCAATCACCATTGCATAGAAATATACTAATAATAATTTAACGCAGGCTTTGTGTGGACATCCTTCGCAGTTATACAATTCTCGACGAAGAGACTCAGCAGCGAAATGTTATCGCTTGGCGACCAGTGGTAGTAGATGTGATGGAGGGGTACACAAATTTTCCAGAGAGGGACTTCGACAGGCACATTGACACATTCTACCCACTTGCCGTGGAAATGTTGAACAGAGAGCCTGGACCAGATGTGAGGATTGCACTGCAGAATCTCTTGAGAAGAGTAGGAGAAGTAAAGAGGATGGGGATTATGGGGCGTGGTAGAGTAAGAGATAGGAGGATGAGTGATATGAGTGGGATGAACGTACGGAGGACACCCTAAAATGATACTTTACTTTCTTTTATCTTTTTTATTTTTATTTCTTTCCTTCATAGAGTTATTTCCTCTTTAAACGACTTATTGGACTTGGAGCAATGTGGTGTTTCTGGGTGGAAAAGTCTTGTTATGTTGTTTTTAGCTTGCATATTCCTTTTCGCCTTGTACTAATTTAGGTAGGGGTTTTCTTATTTTATTTTGTTTTATCAGAAAATGTAATCTGTAGCTAGTACCTGCTTAATCTTTCAATCTAGACAGACTTGCATTGGCTAGTCAAGATGCTTCTGCAGAGTGGCGGATAAGAACATAGGTATGTGGCTAAGAGCAAATAATAAAAAGGAGAACACAAAATCTAAGACTCGAATCACTAGAATTTAGGGCTTGTACATAAGAAAGATTTATTAATCTTAAACAGCCGTTGATTTAGCTCATTCGACGTACTTTAGAAGAGCTATATGAATACTCGTAAACTAAAAAGGTAATAGGCATGTTTTTACACTGTTTCCCTCAACACATTACTGCCTAACCCCCATCCTCTCCTCCCTGGTCTTCTGCCTCACTCTCTGGTCCACCGCGACCAGAACCTTCTGCAGACTCTCCTGGAAGCTGTTGCTAGCCTCGCTCTTGGTATCCTGAGCCTTTTTGAATTCGTCGTAGAGGATGAGATCATCAGTTGTGAGCTTGATTGGGGTTGGTTTGCGGCGGAGCATTTTGTGTTTTTGTTTTTTGTTTTGCTTCGGAGGTGTTTATGTGGTTGTTGTGCAACTACCACTGGAATGAGCTTGGATACACTGAACAAACGGACTCCACACCACACTTACCAGACTGGTATATGCGATTTTCAAAACTCTTACTAGCACCCAGAAGATAAGATGCCCAACGATGAAAGGTGAGCGACTCGCAACGATAGTGGTAGGCAATGTCAGCAGTGGGGAAGGGGAGGCCGGAAGAGGGTGTGGTCGTCGTAGTGCTTGCTGACGCGCGTGGTGTGTTGCAATAGTTCCTTGACGACCACTCAACGCGAGATCCTAACAGAGCTTCAGAAGATCTTGATGACAGTAGACCAATTGTAAGAAACCATCAGTTCTGTTTTTTCTTTCTTTTTCCGCGCTTTGTTCTTGTTTCCTTCTACTTACCATGACCTTGAAGGAACGATTCGTTACTCAAGACGATAGCGCTAGCGAAGGAAGGTGGGGAGATGCGGCGCCTGCAGAAGGAGGTTATCACTACTGGCGGAAAGGTCTTTGGAGATGCGCTGGGCAAAGATGGACTGGATGTGGCCGATAATATGGAAGAGGATTGATTGTGCACAATAAATTCTTTCTATGTAGACTGTATATAATGTTTTCCCTGTGCAGCGATCCCACGTTAAGCCCACCCATTTAATGAGGGCACTCAAATTTCACAATTATCGGTGGTACTGCATTTTCTAACGAGTGATATAACGTGAAGACAACGCAGGCAGAGGTGTAGTACCGGAAAACAGTCCTTTATGGGAACATAACACTATGATTATGAAGTCTTATTTTACATAGCCAGAGATATGATCTGGTGTGTGGTGTGCCTTGCAGAACCTAGTCTGAGCTCATAACTGCGGCCCCGAGAAAGCTGAAATTTTAGGCTCCGTTTGGACGAGGAAAGAAATGATAATGCGCCTGAAAGAAGAAGGTCCGTAACTGACCTGAGACAGATAAGTCATTATTTCTCGGCCTGATGAAGTTCGGAAGACAAAATTATCAGGCCCCGCAACATTGAGGATCGGATCCAGGTATCATCAGAGAGGACTCTTTACTAAGCCCCAATAATTACCTCTCGATGCAATTATTTGAAAGCCACCAAAACCTCATTGTCCTTAACTCGTCCGAACACCACATTACAGAGCTTTCCTCCTGCTTCATTGTTCTACCATACAAATCTGCAACAATTCGGGCGGTCCGAACAGAGCCTTAGCCATAACTAATTGGGATATGTACATGTAGTTAAGTACGGTACATGCGTTTAGTAAATACAAACGTACCCTAAAAAGCCATCCATCATAACTAATATGGTATGCAAAACTAACCCTTGTGTACTTAATGCGCCATACAATATTCGCATACTGACCTACAAATGCTAATAAACCCACCCACAAGATTTAGAGTATGAAGTATGCCCTAAAATAAATAACGGCGAAGCCTGCCAATAACATCTATCTTCGGGTCAACCTTTAGGCCGTAGGCGAGAGCATACTAAGCTCAGCCTTATAGTTAAGGACGCGTCGATCTCCAAAGACTTGGCGTAGCCTTTGATTTATCCGAAGATCGCTTATTGGATGATTCATTCTATATTTTTTCCAGCAAACTTCAAAACCCAATCATGGATCTAAAAATTATGTCATCTCAAAAGTAGAGAGCTACTAGAAACCTATGTGTGTATAAGTTTAAATAGATTTATGTGGACCACTATTCCATAGCCACATATAGTCTAAATAGTTTACTCTTTGCGGAGCAACATTTCGCCGAATAGACGAAGTTGTTGCTGAAAACGCCAATAGTACTGCAGATTTGGTCGCGTCACTCATCTTCATAGATGTAAACCACTATAATTCTTAAAGAATTTAAAACTGGTAGTGATCAGTATTTCTAGTTTCTTTTTGGGCGGGGCATTATCTCACCGAGTAGACGAAGGGAGGCTGAGGACCTCTTAATCGTAATTCGAATATAAGAATGATTGCGAAGCTCCTTAATTACTGTATATTCAATCTCTATAATTCAAGCCATACATCTAGAGCAATTTTCCTCCTTTCCTACTTTCTCATATAACTAAACTTCCTTTCTTTACTTTGAAATGTCTTATGCAAGTGAAAACACTTTTCTTCGTGGCTACAGAGCAACTTACAAAACCCTCGGGTTTTACAGAGGTTATAATTTCCCTCTATGTATGTTCTATCCATAACCTCGTATATACCGCATCAAATCAAATCTAATGCAATCAGGGTTCGTGTTCGGTGGAGCTTTACTCGGCTTCTCGCTTTCCAGACTTGGATATCTAGATATAGCGGGGACCTTTTCGAAGGAAGCCAGTCCGGGGGAATGGTTTTGGTACCGGCATGGTGTTGATAGAAGTTAGTTATTTAGTCTTTTACATTAGAATCAACGCAAAGCTGACAGCTGAATTAGTTGGTATCACGATACACCTAGCAGCAATTCTACCCTGCGGCATCCTATCAGTGTTCCAATTCGTCCCCATTATACGCCATGTTAGCCCCCCCCCTCTTCCCTTCATATTTAGACCTGGATCGTAACTCATATAAACAGAAAGCCTTGATAATACATCGTATTGATGGGTACATCATCCTCATCCTTTTATGGATCGCTACAGCTGGTGCACTCATGATAGCCCGTCGTGCATTCGGCGGAGATCCTATAACTCAGGCTGGGACATATTTTTTGTCCTTTATAACACTTGTGGCTTCGTCTATGGCATACTATAACATCAAGAGGCTACAGATTGACCAGCACAGGAACTGGATGATCAGAGCCATGGTTTATGTTAGTAACCTTGGAACGGTTGCAATTTAGCTAGACTGAGCTGACTATATATGCAATAGATGTCGAGTATTATAACGCTCCGCCTTGTGATGGTGATTGGCGCGAAAATCATCACCAGTATCAATTCATACTACAGGGTGAGTCGCAGAGTCAATCCACAAAAGTTGGCGAAGATCTAACCTTATTCCTTACCTTAGCTTATGCGTTGCGACGAAGTCGCCTTTATCATGGACGACGTCTCTCGGTTCGCAGAATCCTATCCTACCTGCTTGACTGATGCCAATTATGGCTATGTTGCTGTTCAAGCGTCGTTCAAGTCCGGATCTTCACCCGAGAAGATCGGTGCTGCGTTCCGGTTGACCTTTGGGATGGGAATGTGGGTTGCTATCTTAGTTCATGTTATTGGGGTAGAGATATATGTAGGCCCTCCATGTTTAATTAGCTTTGTTGGGAGTTGTTATGATACTAACATTGCTAAAGATTCGATTGACACCTGCTGAATCTGAGAGGTTGAGAGGAGTGGCATACGAGAAGCAGCTGAAAGCAGGACTGACTCCTGCTGGGAGTGCGGGGCTTACGACAGATGTTTGGGGAGACGCAGTTTGGGCGCCGAAGAAGAGTGCGGACGCGGAATCTGTACCGCCCCAAATGTTGGGTCATGACCAGTAAATAGGTGGTTATTGGAAGTTATAGATTTTGGTGGTTTTAAAGTTTGGCGTGATATTACATGTACTGAGATATAGTAGCCGTACATACTTACATGTATATGTAGTTTATAGAAGTCATATGTCCTATATTTATGTTATTTGTGGCTTTTAACCACATCCACAACCCCCACCCCCCTCATCCCGCTCACTCATATGATTGAAACGTTCGGACAAGACTGGCTTCAAGGTTGTAAGCCAAAGATCAATAAACCCCCAGACTATTATTAAAGCAGAAACTTTATTTAAAGTCAAATTTCAAAAGGTTTCTCTTGGGCGTTAGCTCAACTCCGTACGCGTTGTGTGTTCTACAATAACCTCCAGGCTTCAAACAATTAATGAATTACCAATGAATCAATTTTCTAGGCGTTCTGAACCTTGCCGAGTGATATATAATGATTACTCCGGACTAAACCAAATCTGGCTTAGGAAGAGAGCATAACCGGTAAATTCGTTGGTTTTTGACGTTTCTAATTTAGTTTATAAATTTTTTTCTTCAGTTGCCGTCATGGTAGTTTCTTTGAAAGTCCTTATATACATACATGTAGTATTCTCGCTGCAATTACATCTAGTACGTACATGGCGCTTGAGGCTGTGCTACCGGCTTCAAGCAACAGCTTTTGTGAATTACATCTTAGTACGAATGAAAACCTCACACTACTAACACCTTTTAAATTTTATATAGCTCCACATTTTCATACAGTGCAGTCAAGTCAAGGCTGACATCTAGTTACGCCCGAACTATTGAGGTATCTAGAACACCCCTTCCTCCGTGTCAAAAAATTTCGAACTCCAAATTCCATCCATCAATCTGATATAATGCTGGTGAAATGATACATTTGGTTGTCAAAACAACCGGCAGAGTGCCACAAAAAAAAATCCCATAACTCCAAGAATTCAAGGTCCCATAAAACTAGAAAACAAGAAGAACCAATAACTACCACACCACAAGCAAGGAAAGACATTACTAATTACGTCACTAGTTCATAAGAATGATACGCCTCACCCCTACCAGTTCCAGGTACGGTTCGCAGCATTGAATACAGGGGGTTTCCACTGTAGAAGTTCAGGATCAAGCGTGCGTTTGCCTTTAATCTTCTGTTTTTCTCTCTGTTTCTCCTTCTGTGCTAGGATTGCATCGGTGAGACAGATAACATGTTGCCCTTTCTAAAGAGATGTCAGAAAAAAACACAAAAAAGGTTGAAAGGAACGTGATTATGGATAACCAACATAGTACTTGAGCATATTGAGATTCTGCAGTGTATGAATAACATCTTGGGTGGTCATCGCGCTCGAACTGGCCAGTTCATCAATAGTTGTCTCTCCTTTAACAAGCATGAGCTGATCCACGATAGTGTCCTGCCAGAATGCACGATAACTCAACAACCCCAAATCCGAAAGCGGCTTTTCGGGAGACCCAAGTTTTCCTTCCCTTTTCGAGAGTTCGTAAGAGAATGCGATCAGAAGTTTTCCATAACCATGACGCTGGTATTGTGGTAGGGTAAGAATACAAGCTACATTATACCCCTCTGCGGATTCCTTTTCTTTAGAAAAGTACCCAATTAGATGGCATCCATACTCATCCCGAGTTGTCATGCAATAGAAGAGGAAAGGGTCAACATCGTAATAGAGCGTCTTGTGGTCTAAAAAGCATTTAGACAACAAACATAGATTTCGACACCATGTGCGTTGCCGTCGACCATCAATTTCGAAAAATGAGACATTTGCATCGCGATAAATCTCATTTCCTGGGGGATGAAATAATGTGCACTTCCCCCTGTGGCGTTCAAACCGACGAGGCTCTCCAAAGTACGAAAGGCAGAACTCGCAAATATACACAGTTTCTTCCTCTGTGTATTCTATTGGATAAGGTGAAAAATACCAAGGCTCAACTTCATATTTTCCCATCTGAAGTTTTGACAAGTTACGGACACGGGAAATCTCGTGGGCAGACTGTGTCATCGAGCCAGACGTTCGAAGCTTTTCAATTTCATGCTCCTTTGAAAAGGTATCAGGTTGTTGGGCAATCGCGTTCCCTTGTTTTGCAGCAGCAGCTCGAGCCGCCGCAACCTCAGATGATATTTCCGGCTCCTCATCTTCTGCACCAGGAGTACCAGTATCGCCCACAGTTTCTGATTGTATAACCAGCGAATCGTCATTCTCTTGAACAATTGATGCATTTCTCCCCCTGTTTTTTGGTGCTTTTTGTCCAACAGTAGGTGTGCCGGGACCTAGGCTGTCTCGTCTCGCTCGCTTCGGTGCACGTGACGCGGTGTCACGTGGCGTAGTAGCTTTCCCATTCTTTTCAGTCTTTGCGACCTTTTTCTCGGGGCGAGGCCACTCGACCTCGCGCTTAAGATCGAGGCGTGTTGCGGGAACCCATTCGTCAAGTCGTTTATTGAATTCATCGTAGTGAATGTAGTAGTATGGCTCGCCTTTGCGGGTCTGAATTGACAAGATCTCGGCCCAACGATGTTCCTTAGAACTCTCATGGTAAACGTAAAGCTTAACACCTATGCTAATTCAATGTCAGAAAAACGTTTAGACCATCGCGTTTGGATAAAAATGAGGAACACAGGAGAGACTACCGGAGAGTAGCGAGAGTGGCAATCGATTTCTCGCCGGTTTCGACAACTGGGGTGCCGGCGTCAGCGCTGGTATCGCGTACAGGCATCATGTATTACTGTGGCAATTATAATACGGTATTTGTAGGTGAGTATATGCCAGGTTTGTGGTGATAATCCTCTTGACAGTTGGGGGTTGAATCTCATAAAGATGAGGTGACGTTGAAAGCTTGGATACGTAAGCGGTGCACTAATACAAATCGGGCTGTATTGATTGTTACACAGATTAGGGTCGATCATGCGTTGGGAGTAGAAGCATCTATCACTCACTCATCTTCACCAGCTTATGTATGTAAGTATTAAATTTTGATTCCCGAAAACTAAGATAATACCTTATGAATATGCTTAAATCAATCCCCGTTGGAAAGTTCAGGCATCCATGGAAAACCATATCTTGGCGCGGATATGTTGGTTTTTTTGTTTTTGTTTTTGTTTAATTCATTAATTGTATACGGATATGTTGGTTGAGTGTAGGGCAATCAAGTCACATCTTTCATTTCGTACTCTTGCTCCAATTTTCAGAAAAAGAATTTGAGACTGCCTGATATATATGTACTTGATGATAAGTCGATTCGCTGGGGGGTTCATGACCAGTTTACCCAGAGGAACATATAAGGAAAATTATCAAGATCTATTTTTCATGACAGCCCATTTTATCTGATCGGGTTGGAATTATCCCGATCATACGGCTCCATCATATCCGTGCTCTGCCATCCCTGTTGATATCTGAATATAACCATCTTCCATGACTAGCTCATTCATATCAGAATACCTCTATCAAAGTAGCCCGATAACACGGCTATCGTCCCAGTGACTCGCAACCTACATTTTTAATAACAAATATAAAAAGGGGGGAGGGAATAGTACCTGATTTAAGAGGATGGAGATATAAGTGAGAAAAGAACCGAAAAACACGAAAGGGAATGGGAAAAAGAGAAAAAAGAATTCAACGCCGTTTCCGATTCATGCTATGCCCTTGCGAAACAAAAAAAAAAACCCCCATCCCCCTAGTAAACAACCCGCGCCCAGACAGGAAGTGAAACGAAATAGTAACAGTATACAAAAAAAACCTCTGTAATGATACATCTGCAGGAAAACGAAGAACTAAAAATCCGTAGACTTACCAAAAAGACTAGACATCAAAGAAGAGAAATATGTCGCGAGAGATTGAAGGTTCAAATTGACAGCAGTAATGGAAAACTTTGGATTTCAAAAAAAAAGTAAAAGACCCTATGTGATATCAATCAAGAAGACCTCGACGTTCCATTTGCAAGCGGATTTTTAAGCTTTAAAACAATCTTAGGGGCCTTGGGATGCGATTGTCGGGGCGTGGAATTATTGGAGGAAGATGCCTTGGGTGTAGCGGACGGTCTGGGGGCGCCTGATGGTTTCGGGGTGGACTTTGGGGTAGATTTCGGAGCCGACTTAGAGATCGACGGTGTCCTCTCTATATTGGGCCTAGAATCCTTGGTCTTTCTCCCTATTGGAGTACCGTTGACCCTCGGCTTCGGCGTTGTGATGAGTTTGAGTGGTTTTAATTGCACAGGCGGCGGCGGCGGCGGCGGCAGTGGCTTTGCTGCGAGGTCATATGACCACTTAAATCTCAATACAGCCTAGTAAGGTGTGTTAACAAGCGGTATCTACTATTGATTATGACCACCGTTAAACAAACCTTTCCTATATGTTCACACCTAAGATGGCGCGGACGTTTCATCACGACAATGAGCGAATCCTTCGTAGAGTATAGAAGTCTACAAATATCTATTAAGTCACGCAGCTCAAGTAATCCAATGTCTTGAGACCTAAACCACAAGCAAATAGTCAGCTCAGACTCAAACATTCTCGACGGGAGTTCACTAACGTGCATGCTTTCCAGAGGCTCTCTTTCAAAACCTTGTCCTCTCCAATTTCCTTCTTCAAAGAGGCAATCGCGCCAGAAATAGTCTCTCGGGCAAGTTCATCCTTACGTGAGCTCGAAGAGTCCCCCCCGTCCTCAATTATCATCATCTCGCCTAACTCCATATCCGGTTCGTCTTTGACTTTTGATTTGTCGTCGCCGGTAGCTATCATTCCCAACCCCTTCACAAGGGCGCTATAAACACGCTTGCGGATATAGGCTGAGGGATCCGTTCCGATAACCTTGCATATATACTCGACTAATACAGGGGTACGGAGAGCGCCAAGATCAATCATGCAGTCAAAAGCTTTTGCTCGAAGAGTTTCCAGTGTGCCTTCTCTAGTGTAAGACATGAAAAGCTCCATCTTAGCATCCTTCACACGTAATAAAGTCAAGTCTCTCCGAATCTATAATTAACGTTAACTACCACAGATCCCGTCTTCATAGACTCTAGTTTTACCTCTAAAGAAACCTCAGAAACAATGTTCTGATAAGTCGGCTGCCACTGATCCATACGTTGATACCTTAAAATTTCTCTAATAGCAGCTTCCTGCGTAGCCGCAGCCTCGTCGTCCTCAAATTCATAGTGGTGGCCAAATTCACCTCCAGCATTCTTTGTCAATGTGAGGGTGTTAGCTAACGCTTTCATAAGATTCGCCACATAATGGCAGTCATCAAACTTTTTTTATAGTTAGCGCACTATGAAAAACTCTCATATACTAGGGGGGGCTTACGTTATTATTAGAATTGTCATTGTACCTAAGTACGTCCAGTAGCCATTTTTGCGCGCTTGTTGGGCAAGCCCCCGAAAGATTCCTGATCCGTGACATTGATGTTGGTATTGCTTTCTGCACGTAATACGAGGTGAAGTCCGTGAAATCATTACTTCTGGGTATCGCTGATCCTGGGAAACAGAAAAACTCCTGGAATGCCTTCATAAGGTGAAACTGTCCCACCCATGCCAAGTCGGCAGTAGCACACTATATTTCGTTAGCTAGGCGGCCCCAAGACTCGCTAAAATTAACACACCTTAGATAATGCGAGCGCAGCTTCCGTGCGTATACCATGATAATATCGTCGATCCATCAATGTCCTTACTAGAATTGAGGATATTAAAGCGGACTCTTTTATGCTTGCAAGATGCTGCAACGCCTATAGCAAAATATGTTAATCCCATACACTATTGAATACTTTCAGAAATTATACCTCATACTGAGCAATAACGTCCCTGTCTTGCTGTAGCTGGGAAAGAAACATATAGTCCGGCTGCCCAACTTTAAGGGTGCAGATCCACTCAAAATCAGCATCCATACGAATCCACTCAAATGACTCTTGTGCCATCTTATCCTCGTCCTCTTTCGACCAATCTTCTAACCTCCAATCATCTACCTCCTCTTCACTCTGTAGCACATCGCCCAAACAATAGAGTAGTACATCATCATTCTGTGCATCAATACTGATATCAACGCCAGCACCAGCAGCAGCCCTTTCTTTCTGTCGCCGAGAACGCTTGAGCCTTTTATACTTCGTGTTGTAAGGGATATCAAGTTTTGTATATGTATCTTTAATGTCGACAACATGTTCGTAAGGCGTTCCATCCGCCTCGTGGATTCGAATGGTCATTGGGCCAGTGAACAAGGGCAATGGAGGCCCCACTGCTATATGTCGGACATGCTCTTGAGCATCATTAAAGAAGCTTTCTGCCGTTACTTTGTGATGTGTTGGGGTTTCTGTCGCTTGAACTTGTCGGATTCCCATTTCCACGATCATACGCTTCTTATTGAACCTTTGCGAAACCTCAAACCGTGGATATCCTGATCCATAAACCCACTGCTGAAAAAAGGGGTCTAATTTAGTGTGGCTGCTCTTCTCACACACTCGAATAAAGTGCTTGGTACTCATGAGTCCGTTCTTCAGCTCGCCTGCCACTGCCCCTAGGAATGTCTTCCGAACCACACGGTGCAAAACCATGGAAGAACTGACTTTCCACAGTCTCTTCTCAAGGATCGTCAAAACTACAGGAGCCTTAAGCTTGATGAAATCCAAACATCCCTGATCAATTGGAACCGCAAATCCCGCAGCGTAAAGCGATGGACGCCCAATATCCAGCTCACATATTTTTTCCGCGTCCCTTTTGAGTCTGAAACGGTATTCATTGTTGCCCATCAATGTCTTCAGAAAGCATCCAGTCATCCAGTACGCAATCCCGATAATAACCCAAGTGTCTTGCCAATCCTTCGGTACCACTTGCACCCCAGACCATTGTGTTGCCAGGGCATATGTGAGTTTCCGAGTAACCGGCCAAATTGGATCGATTACATGCTCCGGGAAAAGTAAGCGGTTACTGCATATAACTAACGAAGCTGATTCTGTAGTATCCATTGCTAAATCATCAACGAAACAAACTTTGAACGCCTGGAAGACATATTGTCCGAATTCCTTGAAAATATAATCTAAAGCCTGCTAAATGTTAGCCAAAATAAAGGGGGGAAAGAGTGAGGCACATTCCCAGGAAATACCTTTGGGATGAACATGCAGGTGTTCCTAAGATCTGGCTCTCTCCCTGGAAGACAATACCCTAGCACATCAACGCTCATAGATCCCATAGCCTCTTCGGTTTCTACATCTCGATACTCTGAAAGATTGACACGTTCAAAGGGACCGGCTGCAATCGAGATATGTTGTGGGGCTACTGCTTGAAGTTGCTCAAACTTTAAAGTCTTTTTCCATGGCTCGGTAGGATGGGTTTCCTTCGTACCGTCAGTAGAATATTCAAGTAGATTTATTGAATTCCAACAAACCTCGTCCTTATAGTTGCCGCTACAAACAACTGTCATATCAAGATCCCCATCTTCATCTGCTACGTCTTCCGTACTCATTTCGTCTGGAGACTCGTGAGTCCCATTAACGCCGTTGATTCCATTAGTGACAGGGCCATTTCCATTCACCTGTGGCGATGGCGATTGAGATGATGTCTTTTCAATGTCCCCGATGGTTTTCGGTACCGTCACCTCAATCTCCCATGTCCACCTCTCGTGAATCCCATCAAGAGTTGGGAAAAGACAACATGCAGATCCTGGTAGAGGGGTATGGGTAGTATAGGCATGAGGGTATCGCAGATCACCGGCATCACAGCCCACAAAGGTGAACCCATCACGAACATGTTCAATTACATATTCGATCCTTACTTTTAACGAGCTGAATATGAAAGATGTATCTGATCTGGGCAGGGCAGGGGTCATAGCTCCATTTGAGGCAATGTCTGGAGATTCCCGTTTGGTACCAGGATTACTTCGCCCAACAGGGGGTTTTGAGCGCTAGCACTAAGGGGATCCTGCACTCGAACTTGTAAGCAAATCAAATACTTCCAATCATATGAGGCCTTTAACAAGGCAGGAAAAGAACTCACAACTGATTCTATCTTAACCTTCGGAGGTAAATGAATAACCAATTCATGCTCCGGAGGATCACTGAGCGCCGGGTCAAGTTTTTTCATAAGTTGATGATGCTGATGTACTGTAGCGGTATCGTGGATTTTGAAGCTGCTATACGGTTCCTTATAGGTTAACGATGGGGACTTCCCATTGACAAGGCATTTTGTAATTTCTATGATTTTACAAGAAGATTAGTTGACCGCTGTGAGAGTCACTTTGCTGCCCAAGATAATACGTACTGCATTGTCTGCAGTTCAGTCGGAGTTGCTTTAAAGTAGCCTCTGTCGGATTAATGGTAATCTCCGTCCAGCCCTATTTACGCGTGTATATCAGCACAGAGATCCCTGCGGGGGCCTAGATGCAGAGATTTCATACCTTCAGGCTTTTGTTCGCGAAATTTATATCTAATCCAACCTTTTGGTGACCTGTGCAAAACTGTCAGCCACATAACGATGGGAAACAGAACGTGAATCGGAAAACTTATATATTAAACCCGCGATTATAAACTACTTGTGGCGGGGGTGGCGCCTGTGCTTGTGGTTGGGATTGGCTATGTTGCGATGACTGCGAATAGTGCTGCGATGACTGCGCAAATATAGGCACCTCCGTAGCTGCCGGCATCTTGTCAAATTATTCAATAAAAGTAAAATGAAGCTTGTTAAAGATACTGAAGTAGAGGTGGCGTAGTGGGGAGTAGTTCAGTGAAGTTGTGCGATCGAGACACGCAAAAAACGTAGAAAATTTCGGCGTCCTTTTTGTGTCGTCCCTTCTATGCCAGCAAGAGCACGGTCTTCATCCTATTTTGGCTCCCCTCCCCAAAAAATTCTTTCACGGAACAAGCTAGGTTCCCTCCCTTTTTTCAAAAAAAAGCCCCCTCTCTTCTTTTGACCCTAAAAGCCCCTCCTGTGTATTCCGCAACCTATCCTTCTGAGCCCCTCCAGCCAGCGATCTCGAGCCTCTCAAGCTTGCCAAAGATACCAAAAGCTCCTCTAGCAATCGTTGCGCACGTATGTTTGAACTGTCGCGGTTGTTGTTCTGCTTTTTCGTTTCTAATGTTGTTGAAATTCCAAAGCAATCACGGTTCGAAACGCTCGTCGAGTCCCCGGTGGTGATGGCACGAGCGACGCGGCGGAATAAAGGGGTTTGAGGAGGGATACAGAGGCGGACTACCGAAGGCGAAGACGTGTCCTGTCGAGAGGTATCTCAGTGAATGGTAGATTGAGGCTTGTCGTGCCTGAGAACTAACGGTGGTTGTTGGAGTCAGCGATGATTGAGCGTCATTATCTATGGGGCTGCACAGGCGTCGAGACAGAAAGGCGTGAAGTCGGCTAGTGTAGCTGTTCTAGCCGCATGTGGCTTCAGGTCTTGGCATATCGCACATAGCAATGCGAACCAGAAATCTGCAGGAAAATGCTTCCCCAACATAGCACCTACATACGTCTCTACTGCAACCAATAAACAGCACCGCCCTTTGGGGGGGAGGGGGGGAGGGGGAGGGGCACGTGAGAATCCCTCTTCTTTGTATATGTATACCTACCGCTACCGAATAATTCTCGGCTGGAGACGAGAACAAGCTGCAGAAGCAAACAGAGACCCACGCATGACATGCAGACTGTCTACATTGAAACGCCATATATAGATTACAGTCTGCTAGCACTTCATTCTCGACAATAACATCCCGATATACATAATATACAGTATTGTGAAAATACAGCGGAAGCTGATGGTAAAAATACACTGCATGACACGCCATGCCACCAGAAAAACTAAATTCGCAAGTGCCAGAGATAGAGAACCAGAGAGAAGAGAGTAAAAAAGAAAAGCCCATACCCACGACGATCCCAATAGACAAAGTAGAATAAAAATAAGAAATGATACGAACAATGAATTTCCCAGAAGCTTACTAGGGAGGTAAGACACGGATGAGAAAGAATATAAAATAGGGATGGAGATAAAAGACCCGAGAAAAAGATACCATAATACACCACCTCCCGGAAAACCGCAATATGAGAAGGAAAAAAGGAAAAAATTAACACCATGTGATATTATGTACTTTCCCCAACGCTCCGTAAATAGCAACCCTCAACACGATCTCTTACTTAGAAATCCTCCTGCGGGCCCTGAGATGCCTCGCTGTTTTTTGGTGGAATTCTTCGGGAAGCTCAAAATCTTTGATTTCGAGCTCCGGGAGGGATACCCCGAAAGGCTTCAGATTTCGTGAACTTTTTCTAGAAGTGTTGAGTACAGCTTGACGCATGTGCGGGTTATTATAGAACGAGATGAATGGCTTGTGTATTGGTTGTTTCTTCTTTGGACTCTCGGCGGCGGTGAGTCGATGAGAGGACTTGGATGATTTCGATGTGTGACGGTGTTGCTTTGAGCGATGAAGATGATCGCCGTCGTCGGAATCGTCTGTAATAGCATATATATCCTTTTCTGCCTTTCCATCCTCCTTATCTCCTTCGCCTTCGTCTTCATTTTCGTAGAAAGCCCGCCCGTTAGGGCCTCCAGACTCATCCAGATCTCGTTCTGGACTGTTTGTTAAACTTCTGCTTGTTCTTCCAGCGGCAGCAAGCTTTTTTCTTCTCTCTTCCTCCTTCCATGCTTTGAATTTTCTCAATAACGACTCATGCCATCTAATTACTCCGGCTTTTCTCTTCTCCATCTCGACTAGTCCGAGTTTCTGGGCAATTGTGCTAAGGTTAAATGTCTTTATCCAGTCAGGTCCTCGTAATCTTTCCAACCTATCTTCGTATCTTTGCTTATCATGGGCTGCCCTATCACGCTCAACATTGCGTAGGCGCTTTTCCTCCCTTCCCATGGAGGTGTGTGGTCTGATATAGATGTCTTCTGATAACGGATCTGCATTAAACCTAGTAAGCCGAGAACTACTGGCGCGGGCTTCTTCTTCGAGGTTAATAGTCTCGATAACTACTTGGCGCGTTGGGTGGATAGATTGCTGTGGCTCGGCCAAAGAGTCTACTATTCCGATATTGACAGTTTCTGGGGATCGAGTTGCCTCAATGTCGTTTAAATCAGCATTTCCGTTGGCAGTGGTGCCATTAATTCTGTTTGTGATGGCGCTTTGTGCGTTTCTAGGAGTAGCATCGTTCTCCACAATTCTCATAGGATGATCAATATCAACAACAAAATCTACATTTTGAATTAGCCACTCAGTTAAGTACGAATAATGAGATATAATTTACCATCCTCATCCTCTCGGTCTTCGAACCACTCTGCCAATTCGCTCTTTTGCTGGGTGTCTTGACTACGAGTTACTCTTTTGTCGCCTTCTTTTTTATCATTTTCATTTAGGTTATTTGTTGTTGTAGTTGCCGTTGTTGTGCGGATATGGATAGGTTGTTGCTTTGAAGCTGTAAACCTCCGGGCTTTCTTGGGTGGAGGTTGCAGATCCCCTTTTCCACCACCGATGCTCTTGGGAATGGAACGTTTTCGCTTCCCGATCAATTGCGACGTTTGAGGAACGAAAGCGGCTGCATCCGCTGAGGGTGAGGGTGGTGTCGGTAGAGAAGCTGTATCGGGTTCTTGGGAATTTTTGTACTTATTTTGAACTTTTCTCTTGCGTTTGTCGCTTCGCGCTTCTACGCCTTCGTTATCGGAAGATAGTCGCGCCATAGACCCAGCCTTAGGTGAATCGGGAGACTGTGTCAAGGACGTAAACGATGTAGCTGGAGGTGTGGAGTTCTCGGACGAAGAGAACTCAGATGAGCCAGAGGTAGAAGTAGCAGCAGGAGGATTGACTTGTTTGCTGAAGCGCAGAATTATATGGACCTTTCGTTTCATGATGTAAAGACGTTTTCATTCTTCACTTCTATGACTAGTGGGGGAGAGGAAGGGGGCGGGGGGGGGCGTGACAGCGGGAAGTAATGAGGGGGGGGCTTCTTTTTCAAGGTCTCTTTTGTTCAGAATTGATGGGACCGACGTCGGCTGCCTGGCTGACTGGTTGCGCAGAGTACATACACCGTAGTAGTGTCTTCGCGAACAAAAACTACTGACAGAGCTGGGATTTTGGGGTTCAAGAGTTCAAAGGTTTCGCGCAGAGGGTCTCTCCTTTCCTCACACCATGCACAGGAAGCAACCAAGCAGGGCGGGACACCCTACCAAACTCGATAACACGGTCGAAGTGTAGGTGCATCAGCATCTGAACTCACTCGCAGATCGATATTGCGCTGCAAGGCAGAGTTCGCTAGAGTGCATTCTTGGGCTTCATTCATCTCTTGAATGAGATAATTCTAAGCAGCTTTTGACGCTTCAGTTTATTACAGTAGCCACCGTTTATTAACCCAGCCCAATCTCCATAACCAGCCTGATTCTAAAAGAAAAGTCATAAAAGTCTACCGTAGATGCCTAAGTACATACATACATGTATATGCTAATCACGAAAGTGAAAGAAATGAATAAAAGAAAATGATATATAAAAACTTCTCAAAGAGGAAAAGAAAACACACATAAAAAGTATTGAAAAATATAACCATATAATTAATCAACGCGCATCAAAAATTGCTTTACCAGAGGCGAACCAGCAAACTCTGGGTTCAAAAGGATGCACCTACCCAGTAACAAATCAGGTCAACCAATGTCTTATTCACTCTACGTAACCAGTATCCCAATGATAAAACTTACGAGAGGAAATATGACAAGCCCTGGCGACGAGCCTCAAGAAATTTTGGACGGAACTTGGCTGGTAGGCCAGGAGTTAGTATGTTCTAACCACGGAGAGACCCAAATTCTCCGGACGTCAACGACAGGTGGAACACATACAAACAACACTTTTTGGCGGCAAAGCTGGAATAGACACTCCTGATCTTGGGAATGTCTCGATAAGCATATCCCGCAGCTCAACAAACTCGGAATACCTATTTTGCCCAGTCAGAAATCTCCAGGATAATACTACCAAATGGTCGTAGCGGGGTGGAATCAATCGCGCACCGTTTTCGAACAGTAAACTGAGCTCCCTATGTATGACGACAGCAACGCATGAGCCTCAATAACTCATAATGAATCCCCAAGCAGACGCCAACTAACCTCGAACGTCTCAATCGAGCAATTCCAGGCCACATAGGCCCCCGCTCTCGTCCTACTGCCAGAAATAATCAAATAATCCACCACTTTTGCGCTTCTTGCCCATATTCCAGGGCTATTCTCGCTTGGAATGATCGTGTGGTCGATAAGCTTTATGGTGAGAGGATGAAATCCCCGCTCTTCGTAGTCGTCATCCATATTGTGTTTGGGTTTGTTGGGTGAAGGATACCTATCATGTAGCCTCAAGGTGTTCGTTTTCACGATCGTTGTTGCTGCCGTAAATGCTACGCTGGTATGTAGATGGTAAAGGAGCTGATGTGGCGGGACATTGGATGTGGCCGCACCATATGTGGCGGTGGACGTACGTAATTGACTGGATAAACACATACATGTATCTACATGTAATTGCTAAATGTAGTACTCTACATGAATATAAGCACAAGTAGATACAGTGGGCAGAATAAGAGCATGCAAATGCCAAAATCAACATGTTCACAGGAATGGTAGGTACATGTACATGTAGTCCTCTCCGTTACCGAATGCCAAGCAAGTACAAATCTGCTATAGCGAACGAGTTTTAGGGATATATCGAGACGAATATCTAAATCAATTGGAATTTCACCATAACTATATGGATGTTAGATGGAAGATTTGGAATATGCGCGTTACTTATAACGGGGAACGACTCAATAACTAAGTTAGCTGAGCTTAATCCGTAATGTTATTACTCATGGGAAAGGACGGATCCTAACTTTCCGGGGAAGCTCAACGCATGGATAAAAATAAATTGAGCCAATCGGGTCTCAATAGTCGAACTATGGAGTTGAGACAACAAAATCTAACTGTAAGGGGCCTGTCTGGGCCGTTGATTCAGGGATGCTGTTAACTAGAGGTCCATAGCGGGAAGGGAGGCAGGGGCCCCTGGGCACTCTCTCAGGCAATGTTACTATCTGCAGGCCTCTTTTGTGTGTGTCGGTTTTTTGTGTTTGGGTAACATTCGCTCCTTCCTCTTCTCTTACCAGCCGCTTAATTGTCTGTTGGTTTGGGGTTGTTTCCTTTCTCTTATAATCGCCTCCTTCTCTCCTTCTCCCCTTCTCCCTCTCCCTCTCCTCTTCTCTTTCCTCCCTTTCAACTATCCATCCTCACTCGCTCGTCTCTTCTCGCACATTCGTTTGTTGCTAGTCCCTAATACCCCCCTAGTCCTGTATGTTTCAATCCCCTCCATAATACGCCTAATCCAGGTAAACAAACCAGGGACCCTTACTGACCCTATTGCTTGTTTTAAAGTCACATACAATACCTTAATTCCTATTCAATATGCAGTCCTTCCTCATTTCCACCCTTCTGGCGTCTAGCGCTGTCTTCTCTACAGCATACGCCCAAGTATACACCTACCCTAACGTTACTGATATGTAAGTTTACCGACTACCTTAGTCTACCCAACAACCGCAATACTAATAATCTATAACAAAACAGTGATATCAATGTCAGGAATCAGTGGTGTACTTCACAAACCTCTTCGTGTAAACTTTTGTGCCAGAATCAAGAGCTGAAGGTTTCTGCCAACGAATGTTTCCCCGACAATCTCTACTACCAGTGCACTTGCTCTAACGGCCTAACTCCCAATGCAACCGAGTAAGAGCCCTCTCTTCACCAGTTTTATTTTGCATAGATTCTGATGCTGTCAACAGATACTCCCAAACTATTCCGTTTTTCATCTGCCGTATTGAAGTTGAAGACTGCCAGACTGCCTGTAGTGGTGATGCCACATGCATCAGTCTTTGCGCCTCGGGCAAGCAATGCGGTGCGACCGACCCCACACGAGTAAACGCTACCACAACCACTTCTTCAACTAGCAAGTCTTCTGCTACTGGAAAGTCGTCAGCCACCCAGACAGATTCCAACGGCTTTGCCGTCACAGGGACTTCTGGATCATCGAGCGACGACTCATCCAACGGTGCTTCTACATTGTTAGAAGCTGGTAGTGTTTACGGAATGGGTGTCCTCGTTGCAGGCTTGGCCGCTGGATTCGCAATTGTCGGAATCTAAGTTGTTCATGGCGAAGTGTAAAAGAGCACTGGCAGAAATTAATGATTAGGGGTTGTATGATGCTTATGGGGGAATACGGAAAAGGGTTGTATTGTAAGGATGTGTTCAAGAGCAGCGAATCACATTTCACTTGATGATTAGCTGTGGAGCTTTATTTATTTTCTTAATGGATGTGTTTTGATGTGATTGGGGATTGGATACGAGTTGATTTTTCTAACGCATAGTTTCTTTTCTTTTTTTTCCTCCTCTTATTTTTCGCCGACAGATTACCTACCTGTATTTATACTTTCATGGACAACTACAGCGCCGAGCCAAGCGTCTACTTGATTTAAAAATAGCACTATTTATCTCGATTGAGTACGGACTTGGATTTTATCGACTATCTACATATATAAATTACTTGCTTAAAGGGAAACTTAAGGGTTTGACCTTAGATTGCTGTTATGCTGCCTGCTTTATGTTTGATAATCTTGCTTTTTAAAGCTCTGTGGGTATCCTGGGAGTAACAATAATGAACAAAAAATGCTGTGGAGAAGCGAGACTTAGCGAAAAATGTGCTTACTAGTAGCTAGCCCTGAACTAGACCCATACCGACCAGGATCCCCTGGATCTGTTACTACGGTATGTAGGTGTATCTACATTGAGTACCCTTGTGGCTGCAAAAGTCACATAGTGTCGGTATTTGTGGTATGCTTACTCGGGTTCTATACCATCATATCTTATCACTCGGTCGACGGCCCCGACGGCTCCGTGAACACGTCAAAGTGCAAGTGCAAATTTAGAAACGATAGGTTAAGTACCCCTGTTGAAGATACAAATCTGCCAAAGTGCGCCCAGAACGGTTGATCATTCAAAAAATAAAGTATGTACCTGCCGCGAATTCCGGAGGATGTCTTGTATATGTACCCTTCGCCGAAAAATCAATATGACGGTGCACTATTCCTTAAGTGTAAGTAAATGTGGAGGTATTAAGATTTACACTAAGTCTTGTAAGTACATGTAGGTAGTACCCTGTCTAAGAACCCATACTCTACTTATTTACCACGAAAAGAACCAGAAAATGCAGTTGCTCAGGGCAAGGATTATTTGTATGGAGTGGCGGTGATCTCTCATACAAACTATCCCTGTTTCCGTCACTTGCATTTTTTCGTGGTAAACGAGGGTATGTATGTATGCGCCTAGAGTAATGCGCGTCTATTGGCCGCAGATCTACTCTGCAACCGCCTAGCGTGACAACCCAACGCCCTACCTCTGTCTTCAACATCACAGCTCTACCACATCTGAGCTCAACCTTCAAATTGATACCAACTCACTTAATCGGCCAACTGCCAATACATCGCAAGGGTTTGTTTCTTGGTTAACATGGATGGATTAGACGCAAGTGCCCACTACACACAGGGCCCTGATGGTACAATTGTTTCCTGTAGAGTATGGTTGATGGAGAACGCTAACACAGGCTTTCAGATGACAAGCCCTCTCTTCTTGTTCTTATCCTCGACACAAATCCCTACGCCTGGTCACAGTTACACCCAGTTCTCCCTCTTCCTCGTGCCCTCGCATCGATTCTTCTCTTCCTCAATGCACATCTAGCCTTCTCGCACGCAAATCGCGTCGCCGTGATCGCCTCGCACACAAGGGAAGCTGTGTTCCTATACCCCAGCACCACCCCTACACCCCCAACCGACAATGATCCCATGCGCGATGCCAACAAATATCGCCAGTTCCGCATCGTCGAAGACGAAGTACAGGCCTCGTTCCGCAAACTCATGGCGGAAACCACTGCCGAGAGCTTGGCTAGCACGAACGAGACTATGATGGCAGGGGCGCTGTCATTGGCGTTGGCATATATTAACCGGCTGTGTATGTCATCGGAAGATGGTCAGGGAGGACATACAGGGGGAAACAGGACGGCAAATGGGACTAGGGATGCGGATATGACTACCATGAATGCGAGGATTCTGGTTCTAAGTGTTTCTGGTGATTTGTCTACACAATATGTATCAATGATGAATTCGATGTTTGCAGCTCAGAGGAAGGTATAACTTGCTATCCCGTCCTTCCTTGTTTCTAAAAAATTGAGTTCTACAATGGACACCTCGGTTGGTAAGGCACTGACTATATAAATGTTAGAAAATCCCTATCGATATATGTAAAATCGCTGGTGAAACCGTCTTCCTCCAACAAGCATCGGATGCCACAAGAGGGATTTACATGCAGCTTCAACATCCTGAAAGCCTCTTGCAATACTTGATGGTACCACTTCTCATACCTTTCAAAGTTTTTTTTTTTTTTTTTTTTGAAACTAATATTAGTTTTCTTAATCATCGTAGATGTGTTTCATCCCTGATAACTCTACACGTAAACATTTGGTCCCACCCACGCAAATCAATGTCGACTTCCGTGCAGCCTGCTTTTGTCATAAGCGTATTGTGGACATCGGGTTTGTGTGCAGTATTTGCTTATCAAGTCAGTGCCCTATTTCTTTTCTCGAAGGTGATACAGAAAGACATGAATGGGGGTCTTTGGGGCTAGCTCCATTCCTTGAACATACCAAGGGAACATCACAACAGTGTGCAACAGCAAGTTATGACGAAAGCGTTTTGGAGTCTTCAGAGAGTTCAATCGAAGACGCTAATTTTGATGTCACACTTATTGTTGACTGGTGGCTCGACGGTGTGCGGCCGAATCATGATAACCGACTACAAGAGGTGGACAGCCTCGAAGTGACCTCTACGAAGCGTTATAAACACAAGCCGATAAAATATAGTAATAAGCACAAAGCATATGATTTTTTTTCTTCTTCAATCTGTGTTTGGTTGTGTGATTTGATGCACGAACAATTTTAGCTGAGACAGAAATGGGTTACTGACTCTTCTTTTTGCTATGGCTTTTGGTGGCTTTTTATAGTATTCTGCTCTCCACCCGAAGGCGCTGTATGCACTACTTGTAGTACAAAACTCGATGTTTCCGACCTCGGTAACTTTGGCGGACGGCCTGCCGTCGTATTGGCCAAGAAGAAAAAGGCAAAAAGACCTAAGCAGCCAAAAACAACCTCCTCCTTTTCAAACGATGTTTCTGCGCCTGCAAGTGCGCCCGGGACACCTGCCACATAGCATCTCATGAATTTCCCAGCATCAGAAGTAGGGTGACCATGGATAATGGGAAGTGGATGCAATGCATCCGGAAGGACGCCGATATAAATTGAGACGAGAGTGCATAGGGTTCTCATGGGAAAGTTACTTATGGTTTTATTCTGGCTCTGGTTCTTCTGATAACAATATTGTAATTTAGAACCTCTCTTCTTGTTGCTTATGGGGGGGGGGGGGGGGAGGGCATACCATTCACTCTGCTCATTCTAATAATAGGGGCTATTGGTGTTACTTTGTCCTTTAACGGCATTACTCAATCTTAAGGGAGTCTAACGACCTTTCCACCAAGGCAGGTCTTGGGATTTCGTGCGTTACGTGACATGACTGTTTCTGGCTCAATCATGGATGCCGTCATATGTGCCATAGCCTAGGTGAGAGTTAGAAACCCTAATAAAACGCGGGCAAGGGCTTTATAGTAGGAATTTGTCCTTTATTGAGGGGGGGGGGGGGGGGGGGCTGGGGGGCTAGATGCCATTACCATGCTATCAGTGGTGTGTCCGTATGTGAAATATATCCGTTTTTCCGCTGCATTTTTGTCGATTTTGATAGCCATGATACCAACAGCAGAGGACATGGTTGACTCTTGAACAACTTTCGATCCTATCAAACCATATTAGATTACCAATACTTGATAGTGGTCGAGCTATGGATTTAACAAACCCATGAAGTCCTTTTCAATGCTAGTCTTTAAGCCTTGTGATTCATCATCACTATGAAACATGCGATCAACAGCCTTGGATGCAATCAACGTATGTGCCATTTGTTCTCCAGTTCCTAAACAAAAAACGATAAGAAAATCCTCAATTAAACATTGATAAAGGCCGGAGGGGAAATACCAGAGCATGTTGTTGCAACAACAATTCCATCCTCTACCCTTATCCAAGTTCCAATACCAATCAATGCTGCCGGGCCAATTCTGCCACGATGCTTCATCCCGATACCACCAGAACTACTTCCTGCTGCAACTCTACCCCAACGGTCAACACAAATAGCACCTACTGTATCGGTAACCACATCTTCTGTAGCATCACGCTGGCCTGTCTTTTCAATTTCAGCATCCAATTCTGATTTAGCTGATAGCGCCGCTGCCGTTAGGGTGACCCCAGTAACTTTAGAGCGCGGTGTCTTTTTATGCTCTTTATGACGAATGCCATAGGCATCAAGCTCACGTTTCCACTTGACCCAGCGAGCATGGGCATTTCGGCTGATAAGTGCTTCATTGTCAACCAGCGGGAATCGATGTTCCTTTGCATAAGACTGTGCACCTGGCCCGACTAACATAACTGGCGGTACACGCTTTAAGGACATTGGCCGACGAGTATTATCGAGAACAAGTCGGGCGAGGGCCGAAGGGTTTTTAAAACCTGGAATAGACATAAAATGTAATCATTACATGGGCTGGATCTTAATATGCATGTAAACGGAACGGAAGCAAGAAAACTTACGGTCAACGGCTCCTACAGCACCAGACCTCCCGGTATCCTCCATGATGGAGGCATCACATTCTACCGTTCCATCCAGGGATAAATTACTCCCATAGCCGGAGTTGGTGATCTCATTATCCTCTAGACTCTTTAAAGCCATCTCAACACCGTCAACAGCAGATCCGCCATTGCGAAGGAATACCATGGCAGCTCTGCAAGCACTGAATGTATATAATGGGGTTAGAAACTAGGGCATAAGAAGACTAGAAAGTGTACTAACGCGGAGCAAGCTTCAAGATGACTGGGTTCGTTTTGGACCGAATGAAAACCCGCACCGGCATGCACAAAGATGGCGGACCAGTCATCCTCAGTCCTTTGCTGGCTAGGTCTTGTCTCCAATTCCATTTCGGCTATCTAACCTGCACGAGGAAACAGGGATGCAGAAGATGTGGGGCCAAAGAATAAGAGAAGCAGCAAGGGATAGCAAGGACTGGGAACGATTATAGGTATAAGACGCAAGCAAGGTGAAAACAAGAGGCGGAGGAGAAAGATAAGACGGATAAAGGTGAAAGGATAGGATGGAGATGAGAGGTGGGGGGAGGGGTCGGAGAATAAGAGGACAGACAAGAGGACAGAAGACTAAAAGATGGAGGAGGTCAGAAATAAGCAATTTTCCCCATAAATGCAGAGGAGGGGTCATCGTGATCACCACTTCATGGAGCACCTGCAGCGGCCCGTTGTGAGTCGAGGCTTAAATTAACATAGCTAAGCTATTAAGCGAACGCACTACGCAAAATATCCCGGCCAAGCCTATCAACCTTCCCCGCTTGTGTAAGGACGCCAGGTTGATTTAAAGTATCGTGCAGGTGTGAATACCAACCTTCTCCCTCTAAAAACAAAGGTCATTGCGTCATGATGTCACATTCCGAGAACCACGGTACCTCCGGCCAAGGCGCTGGACACAAGCGTCAGGTACAGAGGTCAGGGTCTGCAACTAGATGGATGTGGATGTGGCTAAAACTTGGTTTTAGTTCCATTGGAGGAATGCTCGGTGACCGGCGAGCAATGTCGGGCGAGCTTTTTACAATGTAGTGCATGAGCCAATACCTACTCTACTCTACATACAGCTCTAATCCCAGCTGGACACAATGCACATCTAACCGTATGCGTGGAAACATTAAACCTGATATTATAGATACATACATTGGAAGAAGAAAAAAGAATTTCATTTGTCAAGAAACTCCAGTAGTGGCGGCAGCACGAGCTGCAGCTTTCTTAGCCCTTTTAGAGAGTTGCTGCCCTCCTTGCCTTTCATTCTGTTTCTGTGGTTGTTTCTGCTGACCTTTGGCCGGTTTACCCTTCCCTTTGCCATCGTTATTTTCATCCTCTGCCTTCCTCTTATTCTTCTGTTGAACGGTTTCAGGGAGTGCCCCATTGTCGACAATATCTATGACTCCCCTGAACGACCGCCTCTTCAGCCCCGCTTGTATCTATTTACTATGTTAATGGGCTGCACAAGGCGAAAATTCAGATACATACGAGGAATGGGGAAATTACAACTACAGTTCTACTAAGGCCTCCAACTGCCTCCCTTCCCTTCTCCTGACTCAGCCCCCATAAAGTTGCCAAATTCATAACGTCAAAAGGTGCTCTAACTCCCACAGCCTTTCTAGCCTCACTGCTTATGATAATGCCCCTCCCCCTTGTCGCTCTTATGAGAGATGCGGCGTTTTGCATCAAGTTTCGTCGAGCAGCAACGTCATGGATACTTGCAGAGTAGCATATCTCCAGGAAAACCCCACGTTGGATCGCTGTGCCAACAATCTTGTGCTTCAGGTTATACGAAAGCCTTTGAGAAAGATCTATGGAGATGAGATCACACTCCAGCGAAGAACATGCCTGTAAAAGCAGCTTGTCATTCGTCGGACGTAGCGCAACAAGGTCATAATAGTTGACTAATGATGTGAGATGGTGACATTGTGCTGGGTCATCGAGAACAACAGTTACGCGACGGAGAATTTTCAGCCTCGGGTGTTGAGGGAAAGGGTCAGGTGAAATGGGATTTACCTGAGATACGCTGGTTAGCAGACTGATTTTTACGTCGGTAAGAGGATGTGAAGTTTTACATGACTTTGAGAAAATTTACCGGAGATGGTGTGATTGAGGGCGACGACATTGTATCCTACTTTAGATGTCAGTCAGCAGTGGCCCTTTGGAGTCATGGATTGGAGGGGAAGGCTTGCACTCGTCCAGAAAAGCTATCGTCCTCGGCAGATCTGGTGATGTAGGTGTCCAGGGAATATTGAGGTCGTGAAACATACCGGCGTATTAGGTCAAATCCCTGACTTAATGTCTGAATCTTGGAACAAGTTATGATTGACTAACTGTAGAGGATGAGTGTGTTCTGGCTTCAGGCGGCCACAAGGGTTTGGGTTTTTTTGACGGTTGCCAAGAAAGCTTATCATGCCCCACTAGTTTTCCAGGAACTTCAACTTCCAAAGCTTTCCCAACCATTACATAGGGCGCTCCGCCCGACCGTGCTATTGATCATTCCCGCAACATTTCGTCTGTTCAATCAATCGGGTCGTTGTTCGATACGACAATTCGGAAATGAACTAAACTAATCCCCGAATAAGTGCCTCAACCCTCATGCGATACTTCAGAAGTGCCCCACAAACACTATCTAATTCTCAATTTTGACATACAGATTGGCGAGACCTTTCATTCTGTTTGCCTTCAAACTGACCTATCGCTTAGATATCCACTGACCTATTTACAGGGGAGCCTCAATCAATAATAAATCCTTTGATTCAGAAGAAAACATGCATACCTAAGTGCCCAAGGAACTCACTTCAAAATCAGTCCTTAGGTACAGTACTGTAACCAGGGGAACTAGGAGAACCTGCAAATCACGAAGCAACATGCAAGAGTACCGAAACGGAAAACAGCCTTAATCCTGCCTACGCTGGCGGTTGTAAGCCCCAATAACAATCACGGCGAACCAAAAGCGATCGACCAGTCTGAAGTTCTTTTGAAAAACTGCCAGTTCTTTCAAGCTTTGAAAGGGTGCTGTTATGGGCTTTAAAGTTGCGTATGAAGGCTTTCGTGTGGATGGAACCTTCTTTGCCACTCTTCGGGCGTGCAAAAAATAGAAACAAAATAATAAAAGAAAGAAAGAAAATAAGAAAGATGAAACAGACGTCATGAAATGAACACCATGGCCATGTAAAACCGGTTTGACAAAATATGTTAAATCAATCATTACCACATTTCCCTGTTATTAACTGCGTAGTAGACGAATTTTTCTAAATCAACGGACTCGGCCATCCGTCGGTAAAGGCGCCGGAGCCAATGAGTCAAAATCTCTTTTGCGGTATATTCTTCTACTGCAATCACATCTGGGAGGCATGTAAATTCGAGATAGGACCGAAAGGGAACGACAAAGAAATACGATAGAGCTCTTCGGGCGGATTATTCAAGGAAATCATGAAATGTCAATTCATTATGGCTTCGAATTTCGTATTTTCTGTGTCGTGGCTGGATCAGAAAACGTAGAATGGTAATCTCAGGCAGTCAACAGCGATAGTCAAAATCCATCCCAAGTAACACCTCCCGTTTGCCGCTGGACAGGCTGTTATATCTACGTGAGGCTCCCCGAACTTGAAAATCGGACCAAAAATCTCGTTGTTCTTGCGTCAATTGCAAGGGTACTGTGTGATGCCGTGCCTTCCCCGCGGGTCCGGCCCAAGCTGCGGGCAAGTCTTGACCACAGGGCCGCGCACGGACATTAGCAAGAACTTAGGTATTGGCGTGACTGAAGAAGTTCAAAAAGTGTTTATCGCTGTCCGCTCAACGGCAGCTCGCAGGAATAATAGTGAAACTGTGAAGTAGTAAGACAACGGGATTGTTAGGAGCCTCCCGAGTATCAACCGCCGCAGCCCGTTGATATTCTGTCATTTTACAATGTGAGCTGTTACTGACGCAAATCGCCTTCTATCTCACACCTATCGACTCTCTGATTTCGGAGCAAAAGAGTGACAAAGGGCGGCGGCGAAGAAAATAAGAGCGATAGCGGGAATTTAGAGGCGTGTCGAGTATTGTTTGGAAACGAACTGCACAAAGCGCGGTGGAGAAAGGAGCATAGGAAAGCGAGCAGAAAGCATCTAATCCGGCTCGTTGTTGTTCCAGCCAACTGCCACCCCACCTATCTGCCCACCGTCTGGTGCCTCCCACACCCATCTCCCACGCCTGCCTGCCGGTCTCATCATCTGTGACTCTCTGTGTCCGTCCGTTGGGTGCACCAAACTCTTCCACATCGCGTTCCTTGCCCGTAACCAACCACTGGTTGTCTACTCCCCTCCTTCATTCACCCCCACCCCACTCACACCCCCCTCACCTCACCACTCCCCTCCTGAGCAGCAGCAGCAGCAGCAGCAGCAGAGGCATTCTAGTAGTTAAGAGCCTAGGGTCTAAGAGCACTGCAAAGCAATCCACTACCGACCGCAGCACTGCAAAATCTCCAGCAGGCTCCAGAAGCAGAAACAACCCATCACCCACAGCAGCAGCCTTGTCAGCACAAACCCGCTTGCATACGTACATACTACATACGTCTCTATCTACCGTCTACACATTCTCTTACTCTTACTTAACACTCTCCCTCTCTTGCTCACATATCTCTCAACCATTCTCCCATCAACATCATCATCATCATCATCACAACAAACGCTACTATCGTTTGCTTGAAGCGCCTCACTTTCTTCTTCCTCATCAACTTACCGTTCTATCCCATCATTCGTGACGGCCAGGGCGCACAGCCTATCGAGAACAGAACAATGGCTCGTGTGTACGCAGATGTACTTTCCCTTGTTTTCTCACACCCCCCCAAAAAAAAACATGGACCCTTCAATTCTCTTGATTTTTACAAACTCAAAAGTTTTTGGATGGGTTTGTGTTCATTCCTTATTAGGGGCTACAGGGGAAATACCCTCTTCCCCACTTGAAAAGATACTAATATGAGAATTTTTGGCGCGACCAGGTCAACCAACACATGCCCAGATCATACTGGGATTACGACTCAGTAAACATTCAGTGGGGTGTTCTCGAGAATTATGAGGTTGTCCGCAAAATAGGTTTGTTTTTACCGGAGAAAATATGCCCTTTTTTGTTTCCCGTGTCGGGGTTTATGGAATTTGCGATTGGGGGATTTTCTGACTGAGTATGGATAGGACGTGGTAAATACTCTGAGGTTTTTGAAGGCATAAACATCACAAACTACCAGAAATGCGTTATCAAAGTCTTGAAGCCAGTTAAGAAGAAGAAGATTAAGCGAGAGATCAAAATTCTTCAAAATCTCTCTGGTGGGCCAAATATCGTTGCATTGCTGGATGTTGTCCGGGATCCTCAGGTGTGTTATCAACCCAAGGCGTGCTTCTCGGGGGAGACCGGCAGAAATTTCTAACTCAAAGAATAGAGTAAAACGCCGTCCTTAATCTTCGAGTATATCAATAATACCGACTTCCGCAGCCTGTACCCCAAATTTCAGGACTACGATGTGCGCTACTACATTTTCGAGTTGCTGAAGGTTGGTGCCCGCTTGGAACAGTGTATCTTATAAAGGGCTGTAGTTTGCTGACTGTTGATTGGTAGGCGTTGGATTTCTGTCATAGCAAGGGTATCATGCATAGAGATGTCAAGCCACACAACGTCATGATCGATCACGAGAAGCGAAAGGTGAGCTTCATCGATCTTCTATCCTAGTCATGGGACTTAGATCGGACTAACCTTTGTAAAGCTGCGATTGATCGATTGGGGTCTAGCTGAATTCTACCACGCTGGAACTGAATACAACGTCCGTGTTGCGTCTCGCTACTTCAAAGGACCGGAGCTACTTGTTGATTATCAAGAATACGATTACTCACTTGATCTTTGGTCACTTGGTGCCATGTTTGCATCAATGATTTTCCGAAAAGAGCCATTTTTCCACGGAAACTCCAACTCGGACCAACTCGTCAAGATCGCCAAGGTTTTGGGAACTGAAGAACTGTTCGATTACCTTGATAAGTACGATATCGAGCTCGACGCACAGTACGATGACATCCTTGGACGCTTTCCCAGAAAAAACTGGCACCAGTTTGTCAATGCAGAGAATCAGCGATTCGTCAGTAATGATGCATTGGACTTTTTGGACAAGCTTTTGAGATATGATCATCAGGTATGCATTGTGCTTCCATCCTAAGTTGTAGTGACGGTGAGCTGATTCCTTGATTTTACAGGAGCGATTGACGGCCAAAGAAGCCATGGCCCATCCATACTTCGAGCCTGTCCGAAGGGCCGCTCAACAACAGAACCATGCCTCAGCTTCACATTCGTAATCGCTGAGAATATCGTCGACGGTGTAGCTGTAGCCTATCAGTCTCGAATTCATGATTTACGCTGGGTGAAAGCAATTCCTCTAAAGCTTGCATACTTCTACCAACTCCTCCCACCTCCATAAGCTGCGATCCAAATATCAACTGCAATTCATACACGATGCTTAATGTATCCTCATCTCTAAATATCATGTTGTTTTTTTTACGTCTCTAACGGTGATACTTATGGGCAATTCTTTTGCCCTATCCCCACAACCCCTTCCCCCTCCCTTCCCATCCTAGCCCGATTTTATCCGTACGTGTCATGCCTCCCATTCTCGCATCTGTTTGATTACCTTTTCATCATGGTTCTTTCCTTTTTCATGGGGTTGTTTCTTTATCTCTTTCTCCTTGCTCTCTCACTGGTGGTCATTGATCTGGTTCCCGTTACCTGTTACTGTTCGGGAATTTCACAGAGTTTTATATAACCTAGTTAATGAACGGAGAACCCGAGACGGCAGAGCGTAGCTATACCAAGATCTTGAATTTGTGTGCCTGTAATGTAGAGTGAAAGTATTACATATAAATAGCATTGGACAAAAAGGTTAATACGAGCTTTTGTGTTTGGGAGACGATATCTGTGGCTTCTCTTGTGGCTGTATTATTCCCATGGGTTTCATAGGTATTTACCTACATGTACTTACCTACCATACTTATGCACTGGCTCATAACCTAGAGTAAGACAGACGTCGTTTTAAAGTGGGCGACATATGGTCTATATATAACCAGAAGGCTCGTACCCCGGTGCTTTAACTACTTCTTTGGGTTGGTATGCCGTCGAGTTCTTTTTTCTCTTTCTTCCTTTTTTTCCTTTTCATCCCATTCATGGGATTCCCATCTTGGCGTTTATTGGTTTGTCTTTCTTTTCAGCTGCAGGTTCGGGTCTTGGATTGTTTGCTTGCTTTTTTCCACCTGCATAGAAAAAGAATGAAAAACTGCTGCAGAACTGAAAAGCTTTTTTCCTCGAGATTTCCATTTTGGAACCAGCCATTTTTCCTCATTGCTTTCGGCCCGGGACCGTCTCCCCTCCCCGGTCGAGTAGGTGTGGTGGGAGCAAGTATCTGGGAGAATGTACTTAGGCTGGCTGTACGTAAAAAGAATTACTTTTTTTACTGCAAGCATCCTAAAGGATTTTTCGCTACCGTGGACTCCACCATTTCTCTTTCTTTTTTTCCCATTCCCAGCTTGCACCTTGGGTCGTGGGAGAGTTGCTTTTTTGACAGGTCAAGTTCTCGCATCTCTAGAGTAATCGGGGGAGCCCTCGGGTGGCCGCGTGCTTGAAAAGGGGGGGGGGGGGGGTGTGGTGTTCAGAGGGGGTTGATAGAAAACGGGCCTGGGCTGATCCCGACAGTTTGGCTGTGATTTCTGGCGGTTAGCTGGAGAACTGTAATATTTTTTTTTCCTTTCTTTTTTCCCTTAAGCCGTTGTGGTGAAAGGTGTGTTGTTTCGTTTTGTTTGTTGTCCCAATTGTATTGGATATGCGCAAAGGCCGCCACCGCGGGGAAAGGCGGTCATATGCGTGCTGCTGCGTTGTGGGGAAACGTGAAGTAGGTATCACGAGTGCTCTTACGACCTACCCAAGAGGACAGCGAAATTTTTACTATCTTAAACAGCAGAACTCTAACAAAAGAAAGACTTGTTACGAAAGCCAATCGTTTTGGAAACGGAGATATTCCCCTCCTAATTTCAAACCCGATTCTGTACCCTGAGGGGTTCGGGCACGAGAAGCAGTTTCGGCCTGGGCTTACATTCTTAAAGCGGGGGAGATCTATGGTAAGTTCTAGAAAGGATCAACTGTTTCGCTTGGTACACCTCGTGCCACAAAAACGTTCTTTTTCATGCGGCTCTGGGGGGGTAAACAGATTAGTTACCCCGTGGCTGCGTGAATGGCGTGCGTGGCTTTTACCAGAAGAACAGTCAACCTGGTTCTGAGGGAACTTGTTTACAGTAGAGTACTCTATCCAGTCTGGTTCTGGATGGGGGCTAGGCGGAGAGAGGGGGAATAAGCTGATTGGTGATCGCCATTAGGTTGAGTGAGAATTGATGATGGGCTGATAAGGATGGAAATGATTTGAAGTGCATTTTCTGCACACATTAAGGGACACAAGCGCTTATTAGCGGCGTAATAAACGCGCAAGAGCGTTTACAAAAACTCCTGCTGCCACGGGGCAAATTCAACACGGTACAGGCACCCTATCGATCTGGACGGAAACGTGGTCAACAAGCAATACACACGTAAACTCCACTTGTCGTTTGGGGGCATGGGCGTCAACCATATGTAGGTACATGTAAGTATGTATGTAAGTGCCTACTACTCACATGTTAGAAGTGAATGAATACTTACATGTACGGACTGTTGCAACACCTCCACCTGTCGCAGCACACTTAGGCGAGTGACACTACGTGATCCTTATCTACATGCCTCCTCTCCAGGGACCGGGGTTATCAACACCTAGCGAATGATATAAAAGGCTCACATACAGAGATTCCGGTTACCGGAAAGCGTGGATAATCACTCATCTCCTCCTCCTTCTCTTTTAGCGTTAGCATAGAGGTACCTTTAAACCCTGAGATTTTTATCGAGATCGGATTAAAAAATGGTCATCTTCGGTTTTTGATTCTCTGTACGATGGTTACGGTATAGGGCCCGTGGGGTTTCGGGGAAGATAAATTAGCCTTCCATGACACGTCGAAGAACATGGGTTGAGTCACAGATGCTGTTTGGTATTTAAAGTGCGGAGTGTGCGTGGGGTTATCTATCACAACGGGTCCATTTCGAGAATCTCACTCACAAGGAAGGGGGGGAACTATTCTGGGACCTGGTAACGACAGGAGAAGAGAGACGCGCATCACAGCGCACTACGGCACATCACAGCACATCATGCTACATACATACATGTACATGTATATACTCGTAGCTTCATAGCGTTTCCGAACACGACCAATATTGCATGACATACAAAAAGGTGGATTTGGCGCTTTTTTGCATGGTATGCAATAGCAGTCGTGTTCGGAAATGTCATGAAGCTACTGGTAACTGACAGAGACGTAGAATAGGTAACACCGCAGCCTATATCTAGATAAACCATCATTTTACTGCAGGTCTCGACTATGAATTATTAAATACAGGAAACATGGACAAATATGACGCACATCTCGTTCTTTCCCTTCTTAATGATCCACCTACATTGCGGGGAAACCCTCAGTTTAGCAGCGGCAGGTTATGTCGAGATAGGGAGGATGTGTTTCTAAGTTAAGAAACTCCGGGTAACTGCATACACTGCACTTCAACAACCCCGGCTCGTTGTTGTCGTCTTAACAAAGCCTGTCGTGAAAAGACGTCAGTTCTATCTAACTGTGTTTTGAATTGAATGTCCGGTCGTCGCGACAACCTATTTCCTATCCAACTATAGTCTGCCCTTCCGATTGTTGTTGATTGAATCGCAACTCTCGGTCAGCCTCGGTCAGCCTCACTTCACGACCCAATCGTGTGTGTGTAAGTTTCAATCATATCATCTAATCAGCATCTCTTCCTCTTCAGCCGTTCGCATTTAGACTGGTTCATCCTGGAGATAAAGAAAACAGAGGAGGAGAAACAGAGGAAAAAAAGAGATACTCGGCGAATTCGCGCAGAGCAGATAGAGGAATACACTAGCAACAGCAAACAGATCTAGAGACGGCCCGCGCCGTAATCGCAACATAGCTAACCAAATTCTTCCGCGCTACCTACTTTACCTTGACCTACCTAACGCATCAACGGCCTACGCACTTTCAACTACATACATACCGCATACCAACTGCAACTATCTCACAGAGACATCCACAGAGACACCCTAGATACACTCCTTAAACAGATAGATATCTATCCCCCACGTAAAAACAGATAATCATACACTATGCGCACCGACCCCCGCATCCGTCAATCGCTCAACCGCATTTCCACTTCCATAGAATCCGCCTCGGACAACGCCCTCACCTCATGCTTCACATTCACAAAATCATATTTGGACCCATGCCTCATATCGCTTTCTACATGCTGCATTATCAATAATGATCGCAATCACCGTCGAGACCGCCGTGAATATCCATTCGGCTTTTATGACTATGACGACGACGAACACGGAAGTTCATCCGCCGGCGGCTTCCTTGGATGGGGTAACGACGAACTAGATAGGCTTCTTGCTGGCGGAGGATCCGGAGGGGGTTATGGGGGTAATTCGAATAGAATGACTTATGGTGCTTCTTCATCAAGCGGCGCCATAGTCGGGAGTGGGTCCGCCGGCAAGAGGAAATCAGTCCCGGGGAATGACCAAGACCCAACTGTTATACCCCAAACATCTATGTTTGGGTTTCTGACGAGGTGGGCACCTTTTAGGGGGAAAGGTCTACGCTACAAGCCCTCAGCAGCGAACCTCCAAGAACATCCACATCGTGGAAACGGACTGTCTGCCGTTCAAGAAGAAGCGGAAGATGATCATGGTAGTAGGACTACAGGAATGAGACGGAAGCGCAGCGCTACAGGTAGCTCAGGCGACTCCGTAGGCGGGAGTATGCGGAGTAGGGGTGACCTATGGCCAAGTGAAGATGACGACGATGCAATCCCAATTGGTGACGATGTATTCTTAACAGGATCTGACGGCGAGGAAGACGAGTTTCTCGTGTTAGCGCGAAGAGAGCACAGGAATAAAAATGCCGAAGAAGAAGAAGAACTGGGATCAGTGGAGACCATTGGACTTGGACGTCCGGGACCAGTTGATGATGAAGTGTTAAGAAGGGAGGAAGAGGAAGTCAGGATCCTTGAAGAAGAAGAGCTAGAAAAAAAACGGGAAGCGGCTAAGAGATTGGCTGTGCAGCGGGGGCTCAGCACTGAAGACTACGCTGTTAGTTCTCTGTCTTATGTCCTGAATTAAATAATTACTAATCTGGCCAAGGGTTTATTGTCCCGCTCACAACAAGAGATCAATCCATCGGCTGTACCACTCCCTGAGACTTTACCATCTACTAGAGCACCCTCGCTGGTCGAACAACTGGATTGCTTCGAACCACCAATGCCACTAGCACCGATATCATCCCAACAAGCATATTTTGAACCGTCACAGTCGCTACCGCACGCAATAACATCGACGCCTATCACTAGGACCAGTTCTCCGGCCATCAGAGATTCAATTCCTACATCGGTTGGGTCTCGAACGCCGATACAGATTAGGAAAGAGAAAGAAATTTTGGAGATACCGACAATGATTATATTAATGCCTAATAGTGAGAGGGAGCTTGTCAAGGAAATTAACGAAGCTGCAAACTCCGGGGTTGTGATAGGGGATGTTTGAATGGCTCGGACGCAATGATATGGACACCAAATATCTCAATGCATTTCAAGAGCAGGTTTTCTTGTACCATATGTTTGTTTTTGCGCACGGGTTACTAGGGGGCAGGTGTTTATTTATGGATATCTATGGGTGGGTATATGGAGTAAATGTTTAACGCTTAAAAAATTTATGTTATGGTGTATTGGGAGTTGAAATTATAAATGGAGATCAGTTATGACAGTATTTCAGACTAGGTATTCGATTTCGATGAGTTAAATTATAAACCAAGGGGGGTGTTCATGGTGAGTGCGTGTAGTCACTTAATCATAGTATATCACTCGTTAACAAACTCAAGGCCTGTACCCATACGATTATGCAGCGCCAAAGAGCGGCATGAAATACCTGATATTACGGCAGGGTAAAATACTATGGCAAAGCATTTTATTAGTATAACGATAATGATTTAAATTCTTATAGTGCCAGTATGTCTGGTTCCTTATCCCGAGGTTCCGGTGGTATCTTAAATTTCTTTACTAAGCCCTAGTGCTTAATTAAGTACACGATATATATATGCAATAGAGTATTGTAAGGTGTTTGGGGTAGTAGGCTTCTGATAGTTTCTATAAGCTTCGAGTTTGCACATGTGCAGATATAGTGATGCACACGATACAAAAAGTCTCGAGACTTTGTTTTCTCAGCCGATGGAAAACAAGACAAGGCCTGTACATGGGCAAGATAATTAGTCTCGGGACCGAGTTAAGCAGTCTCGAGACGTCTCGAAATATTTAAAAATGTTGAAAAATGGAGAATTTTCCAGGCGGAGAATCTGATAAGTAGATTGATACTCGCATATCAAGTATGTATTTGCGCAACCAGCAAAACACACACAGAATCCAGAGAGCTCTCCCACCTCCCCTGAAATTATGTGTCTCTTATCTAGACACCTGAAAGACTCTACAGGCCACTTTTAGGCCATATCTACAAAGAACAAGCCCTGAAGGTGAAATGTGTCTAAAAGGGTCCTTTTATGGCACCTTTACCAGTATCTCAATTGGGCCAAGAATTTGAAGCATGGACCTCCTTTATCAAAATTATACTATACTTGGTCGTTGATATTTTGGTTTAGGTGTGGGGCTTTTTATGAGTTGTTGAAAACCTCGATTTTTGGTGTGTTTTGCTGGTTGGGCAAATACATAATTGACGTGCGAGTACATGAAATCAAGAAACCTACAAACCCTAACCCTAATTCAATTTTGGTCCCGTATATTATAAGGCCTAGAAGGTAGTTGAAACATAAGACATGTGCTCTCAGAAAGTGGAGCTGTGGTCTTGAGATTTTGCGAGAGACCTACCCTAAGTCTCTTTAGCCACAAGACCTTCTCTTCCCGGATACAACACAAGACGAGATCCAGGGAGGTCTTGTTTTGTGTTGTGTGTATTACTATGCAGATATAGATGGGTGAGAAAGAGAAGGATGGGGGACAGATGAGAAGGCGGTCATTGATATGGAGACTGCACTAGCAGTATAAGTTACTTTATAAACAAGATGTGGTTATTTAATTGGCTTACTATCTGTCGCTGTAGTTGAGCGAGAGTATGAGCTTCCAGAAACGTCATCATGGGAGATGAAATGCACCGAATAGTATTTGAGAAACAATATCCCTGCTAAGTTACAACCTTAGGCTTAATTTACATATAGCTGTATAACAATCGTGGCTGGCGGAAATGGGCTGAGAGTTGACTCTGATCAATATTGCATGCCAAAAGAACATGCTCTTGGTTTTTGGCGGGCGCTACAGTGTTGATACCTAGAGCGGGGATAGGTACTTAAATCAATTTAGTAATGTAACACTAATACCCGGGCTGTGCACCTTCTTTGGCCTACGGCCTTATATTTGGGGGGTATACTAATTCGAGCGTCAATGAATTTCACAAACTACATGTAGGTAGACGTATATTGTATACAAGTCGTTGCCGGCCTTCGGCCGGAGAGGATAATCCATCATATATTATATTTTAGTGCAATTCTGTATGAGAAGATAGCCACAGGAAGAGTATACTCCAAACTTTATATTAATGTAGAAGGATCTAATTAAAATTAGCAAAAATAACCTTTTAATTTTGATTTACCTGCATTCATGTTGGTCTATTAATACTTCATCAGCAAAAAATCTCTTGCTAATTCTAACGGCTCGGGTCTGGGACAGGTTCGAGGACGGAATCGGAGCCTCGGAGAAAAGCAAATATTGATAATGTGATATCGTATCAAGTAGAGAAAAAATCAATACCCTGATATTATATAAAGAAAAACAAAAATTAATATAATTATAACTATATTGCCCTAAAAAAGGAAAATCAATTCAATCATGATTATATTGTCACAAAAAAGCAAAAATCAATACTATTAGTATATTCTACCGAGAAATCAAAAAATCAATATCATGATATCATCTCAAGAAAAGCAAAAATTAATATATCAATCAAAAAACTATATCATCATCTCAAGAAAAGCAAAAATCAATATATCAATAAAAAAAAAATCAATGTGTTACTAGTAGCAACTCAAAAAAAGCAATCTTAATCACCAACTTCTCAAACCTAGCCAATCAAAACCTTTAAATAACACATTGCATATCGGTATACATGTATCTATATACTCGTTTACCACGAAAAGAACCAGAAAATGCAAGTGACGGAAACAGGGATAGTTTGTATGAGAGATCACCGCCACTCCATACAAATAATCCTTGCCCTGAGCAACTGCATTTTCTGGTTCTTTTCGTGGTAAACAAGTACTTATAAGATATATGTACATCCAGGCCAAAGAGCTAGGATCGGGTGATTCATTGATTTAGATGTGTATTATCATAGAGAAATGTGCAGATATTCTTTCAGATCTAACGTGCTTCGATCTCGATCTCGCGCACTTTGTAGTCAGTTAGTTATAGCCTAGGTAGTAGGTATACTATATGTATTTAACCGACCCCCCACATTCTTGTTGCAGGATGACGATGGCCGGGGTGGTAGAATACTAATTCGGAGGGCTAAGCCGCCTCGTGAGTAATCTTTGTTGCCCGGTGAACTTTACAAGATCTACAGATCTAATAATGTTTTTATTTTTTCTGTTACAACATACATGTATTTCGCCTATTTTCGAATTCTAGAAGTTGGGACAGTCGGTCTGATTTAAACAAATATGTGGTGTTTAAATCTGGTAACTACATAGTTTCATAAAGGTCGCAAACCTGAATGTATTGCTGTTAGTGGCGCACTGCATCCCAGCAGCCTTCTAGAGGGTATATCCGTATATGTACTCGGCTCGTGATCAAGTGATATGGTTTAATCCTTAGTAGTCCTACTTACTAGCAGAGCCCCTTGATGACAACTTACATGCAAGTCTGTACAGGCTCTTCGGGCACTGTACCTACTAGGAACCTCGGGCTGTGTAAAGTGGTGACACACCCCGGTGCTACCTTTGGCTGTAGAAGACCGTGAGGCTTGAATTCTAGCCAGCTAGTTAACGGGTATATATATAACGGGTAAGGTCGTACACAAATCAAAAGCTCAGCAGGCTAGTACTTATGGGACATGAAATCCTTTGATCGTTCAGGTTTCCCCTCAGACGGCGAATCATTACAAAGTAAAATGTCCGGTTTTTTGAAAGAATTCGGGGCATACAAATTCGATACTGCGTTTTTTCAAGGTTATTGCGAACATACTACCGGCTCAACTGGACAGAAATGGAACAAGGGCAGAGTTCTGGGAAGGGGTAGTGGTGGTATAGTGTGGTTAGAGAAGGGGGATAAAGGTGAGGTTAGGGCCGTGAAACAAATATACAGGAGTAGCATATCGGGATGCTCGCAAGAATTACTCGCTTTGATAGAATTGAAAACGGTATATATTTTACTTTGATTCTTATTATTTAGAAATGAGTACTAACAAGTCTTGTCACCTATATATATAGTACCCTCAACACTTTGTGGAATTCTTCGGGTGGTTTGAGAAAGAAGAAAATATCTACCTTGCTATGGAATATGTCGAATGCGGAAATCTCTCAAGTTTTATTACAGAAAAGGGAGAAATGCCCGAAAACGTCGCGAAGTCAGTCACATCACAGCTCCTAGAAGGATTGAAGATCATGCATGCAAAGAGCTTTTGTCACCGGGATCTCAAGCCGGAGGTTGGTCTTCATAAATTGGAATTTACAGGTCTGATTAAATTAACAGAGAGTGCAGAATGTTCTTATTGTTACAAAGGAACCTTTGGTCGTCAAAATCGGGGATTTCGGCATTTCTAAAAAAGAGCGGAATGGCACCCAATTACGCACTGCCGTGGGGACCCAGAAATACTCTGCACCAGAGATTCTAGACGACTTTTTCGACACAGGAACATCAGTATATGACAATTCCGTTGATATATGGTCACTTGGGTGTCTAGTGCATACCATGCTTACCGGAGATACACCATTTAATGCGTCCGAGCTTAACGACTATGCTCGGGGTAAGATTATGTTCCCGACTGCAAAACTTGTCGCGAAGAAAGCGTCCGCCGCAGCAATCAATTTCATTACCAGATTGTTAGCCCCACACCCAAAGGACCGTTTTACCACTCAGAAAGCACTCCAAGAACCTTGGTTAGGCCCCAAAGATGCTATCTTCTGGATGAAAATTCTGTGCGACCTGGAGCGGAAGTCATTCTTCATACCAATGAGTTTGAACAAGAACAAGCCTATGGCAAAACAATTAGAGGGAAAGCTATTAGTTAACGCGATACTGTCGGGGACAGAAGATTCCATCAGATTAGCCTTGAGGAAGGGAAAGCTAACGAGATCTGAGGCCGAATCCGCGAGAGCCCTCCGCCTGGCGGTCGAGAAGGGAGACTTAAGCTTAGTGAGTCTACTTTTAGAGAATGGGGTAGAAGTCATGGTAAAAGAGAAAGATGGCTACACAGCACTGCATGTGGCGGCTATTATGGGAGGGGTAGATATGTCAAAGTTGCTTCTGGGCAAAGGAGCAGAAGTCTCTGCTACGGTCCGCAAGGATGGAAAAACACCACTACACATGGCAGCGCATGGTGGCCATGTCGACGTAGCTGATTTGCTACTTAAGAGCGGAGCGGACTGTGAAGCAAGGGCAAAAGACAAAGCAACAGCTTTGTACCTGGCCGCCCAGGAGGGTCATACCGCTATGGCAAAGTTTTTACTGGGCAAGGGGGCAGATATTGTGTCTAAATATCCGAGGATACCATTATATTGTGCAGCCCACAACGGACATACCAAAATGGTGAAGCTTCTTCTCGAGAAAGGAGCAGATATTGCAGCAAAATCTGAGGAAGGTTGGACTATATTGCACGACGTGGCCCACCAGGGTAATACCGCCATGGTAAAACTGCTTCTACAGAAAGGCGCAGATATTACCCTAAAGACAAAAGACGGAAGTACTGCACTCCACATAGCCTCACTGGAAGGTCACACCGAGATGGTAAAGCTTTTGCTTAAGAATGGGGCGAAAGTTTCAGCCAAAACAACTCTAGGACTGACGGCATTGCACCTTGCAGCTCGCCAGGGCCTCAAAGAAATAGCAAAGCTACTCCTTGATAATGGTATAGATGTCGCGATCAAAACAAATCAAGAATGGACGGCATTGCATAATGCAGCTCACCAGGGACATACTGCCGTCGCAAATCTACTCATTAATCGCGGAGCGGACGTTACCGCAAAGACGGAAAACGCTTACACGGCGATGTGCCTCGCTGTTAGCCAGAACCATGTCGAGACGGTGAAATTCCTACTGAAGAACAAAAAGTCAGATGTAGAGGCTAGGTCAGACAAAGAATTGACACCATTGCACAGCGCGGCCCATAAAGGCTATGCCATTATGGTGAAGCTACTTCTTGCAAACGGGGCAAACCTTGAGGCAAGGACGAGAGAGAAGACCACAGCCCTGTACCTGGTGGCCAAAAGGGGGGACATCGCGATGGCAAAATTACTTCTGGAAAAAAAGGCAAACATCGAAGCCAAATCCGATCTAGGATGGACACCACTATACGCCGCTGCACGTCAAGGACACGATGATATGGTAAAGCTACTGTTAAAAAAAGGAGCGAATATTGCAGCAAAATCCAAGGAAGGATGGACGGCATTGCACGATGCAGCTCGCCGAGGACACAATGAAATGGTCACACTACTGTTGAAGAACGGAGCGAATATCAATATGAAATCTAGAGGGTGCTGGACAGCATTACATGCCGCAGCTCATAAGGGCCACAATTCCACGTTAAAACTATTATTGAAAAACGGGGCGGACATTGTAGCAAAATTGGCCGGAGGACGGACAGCCTTACACGAAGCAGCCGACCGGGGGCTTACTGATATGGCCAAGTTACTGTTGAAAAATGGGGCAAGGGTTTCAGAGAAAACAGATAAAGGATGGACAGCTCTACATAGTGCCGCGCATCAGGGACATATCGGCGTAGCAGGGCTACTTCTCACTAGCGGTGCGGAAATTTCAGTAAAGACAAATAACGGAGCAACAGTGCTTTACCTAGCTGCTCAAGAAGGCCACAAAGTTATGGTGAAATTTCTGCTAGACCACAGAGCAGAAGGTGGGGTAGCATTGCATATGGCTGTTGAAAAGGGTGAAAGTTCTATTGTGAGATTGCTGCTAGAGGGTGGAGTAAAAGCAACGACGAAGGATAAAGACGGAAAGACAGCTCTGCATGTAGCTGTTATAAATGGCTATTACGGTATTGCGGAATTGTTAATTGCGCATGGAGCTAAGATTGATGAAAAGAGGAATGATGGATACTCCCCACTGCATGTGGCGGCCTGCGAGGGGGATGAAAGAGCAGTAGATCTGTTGTTGAGGAAAGGAGCAAAAACTGCAGTAAAGACTTCAGATAAATGGACACCACTCCACGAGGCAGCTCATAAGGGACACGAAGGTGTCGTGAGGTTACTGCTTGATGGGGGGGCGGGTATTGCTGCGAAGACCTCTGACGGATGGACGGCGCTTCATGAGGCGGCTTCCCGGGGGAAAAATGGCGTAGTGAAATTGCTACTGAACAGCGGAGCAGATACCGAGGCGAGGACTTTAACTGGATGGTCACCGCTTCATGAGGCGGCACGCGAAGGACACAAAGAGGTAGCAGAATTACTCCTGAGGAATGGGGCAAATCTCTCAGCAAAGACATTAAACGGATGGACACCACTTCTTATAGCGGTCGATAAGGGTCGGGGGGATACGGTTGAGTTACTATTAAACTATAGAGCAGATCTTACGGCAAAGACTAGTGCGCAGATTGGAGAATATACCTCCTTACATCTTGCAGTCCAAAGAAAACGAAAGGATATCATTTTGTTACTTATCTCCCATGGGGCTCAATGGAAAACAAAAGATAAAAAAGGGCGGACGGTGCTTGATATAGCCATCGAGGATGGTAGCAAGGATATAGTGGAGTTATTGAGGCAAAATCTGGGTATAAATAGAGTTCGAATCTGGATGATTAGTGGCCAAGAGTCAGGTTGGATTTAGGTTTTCATTATATTTCAATTCTCCTTATTTTCGATGTTGGTATATATCGTTCATGAGGTACTTGACTTGTTTTTTGGTTTGCTGGTAGGCGTTTTTATTTCCCGTTTATTTTCTATTCTAAGTTTATAGGTGTTGGTGGTGTATAGTGTTTTCCTTTTAGGTCTGGGGAGTGTATAAGAAATATATCATATGTGTCACTTGATGATGGGAGTGGAAGAGTTCATATAGTAGGTTTTAAGCTATTTTATATTTTTGTGGTTTCAATCATTTCCGGTCCTTGAAGGGCAGCTTGGGGGTGGAATATTTGTCATCATGGTTTGTTAGTCCTACGAGAATACAATATCTGTACCCACATACCTACGTACGAAGCCCCAGGGTTAGGATGAAATACAGAGGTAGAATACATGTAGCTAAGTCTACGCGATAAAGTCAACCTCTATGTAAATATATTTACCAAGGCATATTACTTCTAAACTTTAAAACATGTCTTGGCATTTCATGTCATATCTACAATACCGCAAAATCTCAGGAATAACGAATCGAACTGGACTGGAATATTGTGCTTCGGATTGGTCAAATGCTTGTTGAGCCTCAATCCGACAGACCTAAAGCGTAACTTTTGGTCGCCTTGACCAATGGGTAAGTGGTATTCCAGCCCAGTTCGATTCGTTATTCCTGAGATTCTGCGGTAGTACATCGCAGCTTTAATTGTTATTATGTAAGGCGGGGAAACCCACTAGAGCCTCAAATTGAACCTAAGCTTCTACATAGTAACCTTCAAATACAATGTCAGCAACCTCTGAAGACGAGGCCCGAGCCTCATCGCTTGCTATCAAATCCCTCGAATATCTCAAAAGCGGCAGTCACGATGCAAGCACTCCTACCCACACAATGCGGGAAAAAATCATCTAACCATTAGCATTCAGGACGCAATCCGCTCCTTGCGTGAGGCCCTCTCCTTAGCACCTCGTAACGAGACAGTGCTACACGCATTCCACGATTTTCAGAAAGACCAGAATGTTCCTCCAGTTTGGCGACTTTGCCAGAAGCTCGTTGTTGAATCATCGCCTGATGCGGGCAAAGAAGTGTTAAGGGCATTGAAAGATCCAAACCTGAGTTTACAGCCTTCGACAGCTACTGAATGTCTTGAATTGCTTCTCGCACATGCCGATACTATTCCCTCTCCTGAAGGAGGTGAAGCAGTGGGCGGCATTCTGAAATCTAGTAGAGGCGGGAGGGAATATCTGGCCGACCTACTAGAGAGAGATGCTGTTTGGGTGTTGAATAAATTTATGGGGCTCGGGGGAGCTGCCGTAGATGGGCTCGTAGTGGTGCTGCTAGACCCTGCGGCTTGGAAGGTGGTAGAAAAAAAGAAGAAGTGCTTGAGAGAGTGTTTTAAAGCCTTCCTCGAGAACTTGAAGCTTCGAGAGAAGGATAAACAATTAGCAACTGTAAGATCAGTTGCAAGGTTACTCGCAGCACATGCAGACGAGCTGCATTCTTTCGTAGGGCAAGAAGGATTAGAGAGATTGCTGGAGATGTTGGATATAAATTCAGCAGAGGATTTGCGATCTCACGCTACACTAGCAACAGCAAAGTTTGTGGAGGCCGATGAAGCGGTCGCGGCGAGTATGCTGGGGAGGTTTATGCTTTCTCGGTTAACTGAAGACTCAGACGACGACCTCCGGATTGCGTTTTCGGCTGCGGCTGCGATATTTCCGCTTGTGCCAACAGTAGCAGCACAGTTGTTCATGACCGATGGATTTGTCGAAGGGGTTGTTCCGAGCCTGCAAGGTCGCCCGGGGGATGTTGAAAAAGCGGCGCTGGAAATGATGAATGCGGCATGTGTGGATAAGAACTGCAGGGCTGCTGTCGCTGGGCAATGTGAGGGCTACTTGGAGGCGGTGTCAAAAAGTACAGAGGGTATAGGGAAAGCCATCGCTTCCACAATTCTTGCAAAAGTACGATTTGGCGTCGGAGAGCCAGGGACTTTGCCAAAAGGGATTGATGAATTGGCAGCGGTGTTCAAAAATATGATACTGCAAGAGGACGCCGACTCACGACATTCATCGGTAGAAGGCCTAGCATATGCCACACTCAAAGCATCAGTCAAACAATCTCTCTGCAAGGATAAAGTATTCGTCAAGAATCTTCTAGAAACAATAAAGGACACTTCCAGCAAACCAACAGTAATGTTCGGCGGTTTAACTGTCATAAATAATCTTACATCATACCTCCCTCCATTGTCAGAAGAGCAGAAGAAAGTCGCCCAGCTCAAGAATTATGCGAACGCTACCCCCAAAGCCAAGACAGAGCCTGATGTAGGCGACAAGGACCCTGCTGTAACAGAGCGCTGTAAAATACTTCTTGAAGCCGGTGTTGTTCTGGTTCTTATTGCGTGCTCCCGAAAAATTTCGCAGAATGCTATTGCAATTGTTACCAACATTCTTTTATCACTCAGTCAACACCAGAAACATCGTGGTCTTATTGCACAGCAAGGAGGGGTCAAGCTTCTACTCCAATTCTATCCAGCGGTAACAGGAGATACGTCTCAAGATAGGCAGATAAAACAGACATGCTCGCACGCAGTTGCGCGAGTTCTAGTCTCCACAAATCCGTCACATGTATTCTCATCGCAACTTCCAGTGGCATCAGCTGTGCGTCCGCTCCTGGCACTGCTAGATAACTCAGATGATCAACCCACCCTTCTTCCGGTCTTTGAAGCACTTCTTGCACTTACAAACCTCGCTTCAACTGATGATTCCACTCGCGATCTTATCATCCGTGTTGGCTGGCAGAAAATCGAAGAGACCATGCTCTCATCAAATGCAATGGTTCAGCGTGCCACTGTTGAATTGGTTTGTAACCTCATGGCATCCCCAGCCGGAGTTGAAAAGTTTGCAGACGGATCCAAGAGTGCTGGTAATAGGCTTCATATCCTCCTAGCCCTAGCAGACTCGGAAGATCTAGCAACTAGACGAGCAGCAGGAGGTGCATTGGCAATGTTGACGGAGTGGGATAAAGCGTGTGAAGCAATTATGAATAGGGAGAGGGGTGTGGAGATACTTTTGACAATGGTATCGGAGGACAATGAAGAAGTGAGACATAGAGGTTTGGTCTGTGTAAGGAATTTGGTATGCGGGGGCGGAGAATATGTTGGAAAGTTCAAAGCCGCCGAAGGAGCGAATATCATTAGAGAGGCATTGAGAGGCACAAGAAACCCGGAAGTTCTCTCAGTTGGAGTAGAGGCATTGAAGGTTTTGATGCAGGAGTAGACGAGGTACATTTGTTAGGATGATGGGGGCAGCGATTCCTGTGGATGCCTTTTAATGTTGGATATGTGGTGCAGCATACATTACATGTATGTACAGTACGAAAAAACGGGGTGAAATCAGTACTGTATGACTACGGGATTTAGCGAGGAATATGGAATTAAACCGGCATTACAAAAAGAATACCGTAGTAATGCCGTATTCTTGCTGCATTACTAGCGCATTAAGGGGAATAACGTAGCGAATCCATACCCTTTTTTGGTATTGTAGTTCATTGTCATTCAGTTCATTATCATTTTAGTTCAGCCTACTTCATACATGTAGTCAAAGGAAAACACCAACCTCCTTTCCACCAGTACTTAGTACTTGAGATCATGAAAGATACAGGTCAGAATCATGGAATATCACTCGTTCATTAATGAAATGCGCACGATTGGTTTTTTTTTTTTTGTTTAATTCATTAATTGCGCACGATTGATTGATTGATTGATTGATTGATAGATTGATAAATGTGTGTTTGACTAGCTCTCTTTCAAATCAAGGTGCTAGTTCGGTAATCCCGACTGGCCTCTTGCCCCAGTCAACTCGTGAATCTCAGTTTGATATAAATCGGGATGTGAGAGCTCAAGTGTTTCGGGAAGCAGAAGTATCTAGCACACACTCCCAGCATTTAGAAAAGTTGGATCCGGTATTCCGAAAGCGGTGATCTGTGCTGGTTTAATCAAGTATCTTCACAGGATCCTTAATTGAATCGTGGCCTTAGATTATAAACCCCCACCATTATATTAACCTTCAATTTGCCGGAGCATTTGACCCATCCTTCAACCTTCTATGTCAGTAGTTGGGAGTAGGCTTTGAATTCCGACTTATCAACTTAGAGGGTTTTATTTATGATCTGTCATGAACTGCTTGATCAATTGCTCAAGTTTCGTTATAATTATTAGCGGGAGATGAAAGAAACAAAATCTACCGAGAATAGAAAAGAGGCGAAAGATTTTATATCATGCTGTTAAGTATCGCTATATTCTGATCTCACGCCAAGATGTGAATTAACAGTGGAAAGGTTAGACAATATGGGTGGACTTTTCTGCTTTCATATTAATTTGTCGACGCCGGACCTGGCAGATTTGTCAAGCCTGCCACTAGATGTATGACGGATCTCCCTGAAAGACGGGGTTTATTAACGCCAAGTGCTGACTTCATATTATAAGCAGAAAATTCTACACCACCCTCGAGTTTTCTAGCTCAATGTCTATGGATCCAGTCTGACCAAGATATCTAATGGCCACATGACTGGTCTAGACGGAACTAATGACAAGGAGTATCGGCTACATCTAGCCGTTACTTCGGGCCTAACGCGTTCGGTTGCGACCGATAGACATCTTTCAAAATATATACATATAATATACAAGTAGTTTCCGGCCTTCGGCCGGTACTATATGTATATCAATCAGTCTAATATACAGGCAAGCCGCTTTGCGGCTTATTTGTCTATTTGCCTGGCAGGCAAAGTCTATCACTATATCTAGATCTGATCTGGTCAATATGTGACTTTTCTGATATATTATCCCCATATATCAATGGATAAGTCAGATAATTTCTCCAGTTAAAACTACAGGTATATCCCTTTAACAGCTACCAAACCGCTAAAATCGAACCACTATCAATTCCCAGGACCAGTAGCAACCCTATTAACACTCTAACACCACTCAGCACAATACCCTATGTTAATATCCAACACAACATGTTTCAAGTGAAACAAAAACATCTCTCAATGAACCAATCAGAAGACTATAAAAGCACATTGCATATGCAGGTTATAATTATATACTTATTAGATGTAAATATGTGGTTTTAATATCGATGGAATCAATGAAGGATATATGTTTGAATTACAATTACCGAGCATGAGAAACCCCACCAGAGTCCAGGCTCTGCCTCCGCCTGATTCTTTCTAAGATAAAGGCTTTCTCTCCTACGTAGAATAGGTTGTGATAGGAAAAGAGAGCGGGAGAACTGAACGACGCCCATGCTTTACGTTTTCGTGCACAGTTCTTGTAAGGCATGTACTTAGGAGCGCTTGCTATATATATACATATATACATGTATACATGTATATATAATTCCGGGCTCGCGTGGTCCGGTAAAGGCGTGGTAAATTTAAGAAGCGTTTAGTTATTAAATGTAGCTGGGGCTACGGCCTGACGTTACTTTGGATTAAGCTGCTCCTTGATCTGCTGGACCAGGTGCTAGTCGCTTTGATCACAGCATATCACTCGAATAGATTAACAGGGATAATGACCTAATCAGTCTTGGCGAGCACGTTCATTCGTTGGTGAGACCGGCGCGTTAAATCACCAGAGCACTAAAGAGCTCCAGAAGCCCACCCCGCAAACTAATTTGCTCCAGTATCTTCCTTCCCCCTATCTCCATTTCACTGGGTCTATATTTTCCCTTTCTCTGTTCACCAGCGGGGAGCTTGTAAGACTCTCACTCGCCTTTAGCCCTAGGGGACAGTTAATTCCTTTTCCCGCTCTTTCACCTCTTAACAAGTAGATACGTTTCCACATAGCTCGCCCCCACCACTACACACAATGGAGGACGATATCATCCCAACCTTTCCCCCACTCCCGCGCGCACTCTCGGTTGCGATCGATCCGATTGCGCTGGTCACAACAGAATGTATCATTATCACCTCGGCAATGCGGAAGAATGCCAGGTGGGCACAGAGCAGCGTGAGTGTTATTCTCGGGGGAGGTGGAAATTCAGGGTTGATTGGAGCTGGAGGGACTCCTAGTAGTGGGATGTCAACGCCAGTTCCGGGAAGCCCTGCCGCAAGCTTGCAAAGAGGGAGGGTAGGCGCGAAGGGTGTTCTGGACGAGTTGAATGGGGACGTGGGGTTAGCGGGGAGGTGGGGGTTGAGGGGAAAAAAGGGAAAGAGCATACAGGTTTGAAAAATGATCAAGACAATGGTCAGAGTTTGACTGATTAAGAGATAGGATAACCCGCTTATGGCGGCATTTTCAAAACTCAGAGTAGATCTACAGGATTGCAAAGGTACATTTGCATTTCAATCTCTGGTTTCTCGTAGGTTACAACTGTGTTTTGAGCTAATTTCCTCGTAGATATTAGAACATTTGATACGCCTTCCCTCCTTCATCCCTTTCTCCAAGTGATCCGTTCCTCCTCAACCTCCGGCCCAATAACTTCCCTAGCCCTCATTAGTATTTCAAAGTTCTTCTCATATGGACTCATCTCTAGTACCTCGCCAAGGCTCTCCACGGCTATGCAGCTCCTCTCATCAGGAATCACCCATTGCCGTTTTGAGGCCTCCGATTCGGCACAAGATGAAGTAGTCCTGCTACGTATCCTTAAGCTTATGGAGATGATGATCTCAGGTCCTGGTGGCGCTCTGCTGGGAGATGAGAGCGTGTGTGAAATGATGGAGACAGGATTGAGTATGTGCTGTCAAATGAGACTCTCCGAAGTCCTCAGAAGGAGTGCGGAAATGAGTATGGTATTCATGTGCCAGGTTGTTTTTGAACGACTGAAGCATCTGGAAATCGAGGCGGAGGATGAGGGCACAAACCTTGAGGATGGGTATTCGGGGGATCAGATGGGAGCCGTGAAAATGGAACCATCAGTTAATGGAGAAAATACAGCCATCCAGCCTCTGCAGCCTTCTGATGGTCGACCATCTACCGATTTAGTCATAGACACGAGTAGAGATCAACCAACGCCGACTCTGACTGTTGCACCTGTGAATATGGATAAAGCGCCCGACTCAGAATCAAGCACGGAGATTGCAGAGATTAAGCCCTATTCACTCCCTTCTATCAGGGAATTACTAAGGGTCCTGGTGGAGTTATTAGACCCTCATAATAAAACCCATACAGACACAATGCGAGTCATGGCCATGCGAATTATTGATGTTGCGTTCGAAGTTGCGGGACCTAGCATTGCAAAACACCCAAGTCTGGCAACCCTTGCTAAAGACGATCTATGCCGCTACCTCTTCCAATTGGTCCGTAGTGATACGATGAGTATTCTCCAAGAATCACTCCGCGTCACAGGTACCGTCCTAGCAACCACACGCGGAGTACTTAAGCTACAACAAGAGCTATTCCTGAGCTACGTGGTCGCATGTTTACATCCCCGAGTTGAGATCCCACGAGAACCAGGAATAGATCCAATTCTGTACGAGGGTGTCCCACAGGCCCCGAAATTAGTCAAACCGGGACCGAGTCAAGGGAGTTCTGGAAGGAACACACCAGTTCAGGTGAAAGAGAGGCAGAAACTAGGCTTAGAGGGTGGAACAAGAAGGCCAGATGCACGTGAGGCAATGGTGGAAAGTGTTGGTGCGCTCGCAAGAATACCAACCTATATGGTGGAGTTATACGTGAACTATGACTGTGAGGTTGATCGGAGTGATCTATGTGAAGATGTGGTGGGGTTCTTGAGTAGGGTAAGTAATGGCTCTTTCTATGTCTGCAATATTTAGGCTTTCATTGATGTGAATTATTTGGGCAGAATGCTTTTCCCGATTCAGCAACATGGAGCACCACGAATGTTCCTCCATTATGTCTGGATGCTTTATTGGGATATATCTCATTTATTTCTGATCGACTCAATGATCACCCTCACACAGAAGGCCTCCCCTCACCCGATGTCCTTAGGGCGCAGCGCTCCCTTAAGCAGACCGTAATCCGGGGCGCTGCCCGTTTCAACGAAGACCCCAAAAAAGGAATTGCATTCCTCGTTTCACAAGGGATCATTGACTCTGCAGACAACCCTGCGTCCATTGCAAAGTTCCTACAAGGAACTACTCGTCTTAATAAGAAAGTCCTTGGAGAGTATATATCGAAGAAGCAGAATGAAGCGATACTTAAAGAGTTTATGGAGATGTTTGACTTTAGAGGGAAGAGAGTCGACGAGGCATTGAGGGATATGCTGAACTCATTTAGATTGCCTGGGGAGAGTGCACTGATTGAGAGGATCGTAGAGAGATTTAGTGAGTTATATTGTGGACCAGCGAAGCCTGAGGAGGTGGCGGATAAGGATTCGGTTTTCGTCCTCACTTATGCCATTATCATGTTGAATACGGATCAACATAACCCAAATCTTAAGGTAGGCGATGTTTATGTTTGAGTATGAACTTTTATTGACAGAACGTAGCAACAAAGTCGTATGAAATATGAAGATTTTGCTCGAAACCTTAGGGGTGTGAACGGCGGAAAGAACTTCGCGCCGGAATACCTTCAAGCTATATACGACACGATTCGTACAAATGAGATTATTTTGCCCGAGGAACACGATAATAAACACGCGTTTGATTCAGCGTGGAAGGAGTTGCTTATTAAGGCATCATCTAACGGAAATCTCACTATCTGCGACACCAATATCTACGACGCTGACATGTTCGCAGCGACTTGGAAACCGATTGTAGCGACATTGAGCTACGTTTTTATGTCTGCCACTGACGACGCCGTATTCCATAGGGTCATTACTGGGTTCGACCAATGCGCGATGATTGCGGCAAAGCATGGACTTAAGGATGTGCTAGATCACGTCGTAAGATGTTTAAGCACAATATCCACATTGGCCACCGAAAAACCACCCAGCACAAGTCTTAACACAGAGATACAAGTCAAGGGGAACAGCGTAATGGTTTCTGAGCTTGCGGTAAAGTTTGGAAGAGACTTCAAAGCGCAATTGGCCATGGTGGTCTTATTTCGAGTAATTACAGGGAATGAGGAGATCCTGAATAAGGGATGGGATCAAATCGTTAGGATATGGTTGAATCTTTTTGTCAACTCGCTCATCCCTCCATTCTTTGCACAGAGCGACAGTGGGTTGGATATTCCACCAATTCAGTTGCAGACACCGAGTGTAGTGATTGAAAGGAACCAGGCAACGAGAGATGTGGGGTTATTTTCTGCCCTGAGTAGTTATCTGTCGAGTTATGCGAGTGATGATCCGCCGGAGCCGAGTGATGAAGAGTTGGATAGTACGCTGTGTACTGTAGATTGTATAAATGTTTGCCACCTGGGGGATATGTTTGCAAATATCATGTAAGTATTCCTCTTACACCGCAAATGTTTCTCAAGGTTGGAAGTGTGGTGGAATTGGCTAATACATATTATGGTTAGGCACCTTGACGCCGCCGCGCTGGATCCCCTGGTTACTTCGCTACTGGCGCAACTACCAAATATTGATGACGACGACGATGACGAAAATGTTGTTGTTCTGAAACCAGATTATAACTCGCCCACAAACGGAACTCACACGGTCAATAAGGGACCTAAGTATGATCCTGCGGTGGTGTATGTACTCGAATTCGCAACGAGCTTGGTGCTTAAAGATGAATCGACTGTTGCTACACATGGGAAGGTACTTGCAGATACACTTATGGGGATTATCCGAAATTCGACTCGCGTGCATAGCATTATCGTCTCGAGGGTAGTCTATTACCTATTCTCACTCCTTCAAGCAAGCCATGAGCACTCTTTCTTGAATGTTCCTGTTGTCTTACATTCCATCGCGGCGCTTGACAAGACCCTGCTGGACAAGGCGGCTTCGTTAGTAATCAAGGGACTTTCAAAGTGCGCAAAGAGCGGATCATCGTCGTTGAAAAGCGAGATGATTAATTCTCCAGATTTTTGGGTGTTATTCAGAGCACTTCTTCCGAATGTGGATGCATGTGCTGAGGTGTTTGGTGTGATGGAGTTTATCACTACTGAGAGTCCCGGAAATGTTACGAGTGATAACTATGTTCCTGTTGTGTCATTATTGAACGATTTCGCGAGCGCCGGGAGTGTTGGGAGTGTCTTTGAGCAGAAGCAGGATAAATTGGCTCGACGAGGGAAGGCGAAGAAGCTGGTGGACCGTCCGTATGTTCTCTTTACTGGAGGCCAGGAAAGCTAGAGTAGGCTAACAGGAATATTAGGGATTCGGAGGTTGTTTTGAGGGGTGTGAAAGCAGTTCATATGATTTTTCAACTCACTTCTAGAGTGCCAACTCTAATCTTGCAATCTCACCTGGAAAAGAAAGAAGGTATTCATCTACCCACGTAGCTGTCTTTTTTGTAGATATGAGGATTAATGGATATAGCTTGGACAACTTATTGGACGCCAATCCTTGAATCTCTCAGCGCACAGTGTATCAATCCATGTCGTGAAATTCGAGGCCAAGCGTTCACTTCTTTGCAGCAATCGCTTCTCTCGCCGGCGCTCACATCTGATGACCATCACGAGTGGACGGCGATTTTTGGGGATGTTTTATTTCCTCTTATAAACCGCTTGCTCAAGCCGGAAGTGTATCAGTCAGATCCTAGAGGCATGAGTGATACCAGGGTTCTGGCTGCTACTATGCTTTGCAAAGTATTTTTGCACTACCTGGTGATGCTAGCAGAGTGGGATGGAATGCTGGATCTATGGTTGAAAATTTTGGATATCATGGATAGGCTCATGAACAGTGGACAAGGTGATCATCTTGTAAGTTTCCCTTAATCATGTCTTTCCGGGTTGAAATTGATCGGAAACTCGATATTAGGAGGAAGCGGTACCGGAGAGTCTGAAAAATGTTCTCCTAGTTATGGCAAGTGGGAAATATCTTGTTCCACCAGAGGAGGATGCTACTGGCGAGGAGTTATGGAACCAAACGTGGAAACGACTGGAGCGATTCCTGCCAGGCTTCCTTGCAGAATTGTTCCCTCCATCACCTCCGCCGCCACCGCCGCCAGCATTGAAAGAAGAGCCCACAGAAAAGTTGGAAGCAGACAGCGCAGTCGAGGCTTCTTCAGAAGTTCCACCTGCCTCATAGAAGGTCAATGTGAGAGTACATACATCGTGTTATAGTGAAATTGGGAGGTTTAAAACGAGTTTGGCTTAATAAATATAGCGTTGGGGTTGTTTTTGTTGGTTTACTTCACTGGTCAGGAAGGGGCTTTAATTTGGGCTAGAATCCTCAAACATTTGTACTCTTTTTCAAGTTTTTAAACTGTTTATGGGCCTGAAGCTGGCCTTGTGCTAAAAGTTAAAGTGGCTGAATTAAGCTTTACGCAAAACCAACGCAGCTGCACAGGTCATGCCACTACCCGTAGTTTTGCATCCCCTGAAGACTGGTCAAGTTTGAATTTAGACTTTGATTTGAGCCCCACATCAATGATTATTTGGTCAGTTGCATCCAGCAAGGCCGATAGAATCATCTGGTTGATCCCAATGGCCTTCCCTAATCCTCGCCAATCTCTCTTGTCTAATTCATGGTCTTTTGATTCCGTTACGGCACCAATAACCGTGGACGGCATGTTGAGCATCCTCTCACAGAACCATTCTTTTTGAAAGAGAAGCTGAATCGATCCACCTATCCTTTAGTTTCCTAATAGATATAAATAGGTGATCATCTTGCATAGTTTAATCAGAGGGTCTAAAAGGCGCTAGAGTAAGGGGCTTAAATGTAGATCCTCATGGTTTGCCACGATACGCACACGATATACAAGCCACTGCATCCGGTACTCATAGGTAGACAAGTAACTACATGTAGAAGTGATTATTATTGTTAGGCTATTTTAGACCTTCAAGCTGAGGAGTAAGAAGTCACATGCACTGCAACTGTAACCTTGGGGCCTCGTGGCAATCAGCTGTAAAGATCCTTACCCGGGTTTTTCTTGTCAAACGGAGCCTCATAGAGTGGAGATCCCAAGATGGGCTCGCCGCCGCCGTGGTTTAATAGGTATCATATCGATGGCGTAAAATCGCATCGTCGGCCAAACTCGCCCCACTAATCCAGATGTGGGGGAGAGCCATAGGGAGATTATCATGTCTCGGTATGGTCGGTACGGTACTCCATGTACGACGATGCCAGGGGGGTACGCTTCTCTGGAACACTTCTCGAACCATGGATTGGATTGCGAATGTTTGAGACCATTGTTGGTTTCGTACTCAGCTTGCAAACGCACTTTCTGGAGAATTTCCACAGAAGAACAGTTCCCATTACCTAACTGTTTGTAGTTGGTTCGGTGAAGTAAGATTAGAAACATCCCGTCACGAGGACGGTGGAACGAATGTGATAGGCGTCTTTCACGTACCAGAGTCTTAGTCTAAGGAGGAGGTCAACTTTCGGAATTGAGGAGCTTCCTGAAATCTCCTTTCGATCAGCAGCTACAGGCGTGATCATTTTCAAAGTGAAATGAGCGGCCGTCGGCTTTCTAAGGAGCTTGTTAGCCCATCCGTTTTTGAAACCTACATGTAGTCTTGGTCTACCTACATGTAATGTGCTACTGTATGTACAGGGTTGCTGTTAAATGTACCTATTCGAAGAGTTGACCGCTGAAACCAAATTGAATTCGCCTGCCTGTAAAACAAGGGTCTCCAAACCCTTGCCCTGCTTACCCCCCTAAGTAGGCCACGCAGACACCTTGATGTGAAGCACAGAGCTCGTTTTTCCCTTTTAGACGTGATTGGTATTTCAATCCCGTTCTCTCTCTTCTCCTCTTCCCTCTCCCCCTTTTCTCTTTGACCTTCTTTCGTTGAAAACCTCAAAGCTATCCTCTCTTTGCCATCAATTCTATCTCAGAGCTTCCCCACTGTTTCAATCTTCGCCATTTGTCTCTGTATTCCACTCGCTTCCTAAATAAACTAATTACCATCATCTATCTATTTATCACGTTGACTAGACACCAGATAAATCATTCATCATGAAGGGTACACTTCCATCTCCACATCTGGACAATGCAGGCAGCTCACTCGTACCTACTAAAGCTCTTATTCTCGTCGGTGGTTTCGGAACTCGTCTTCGGCCTCTTGTATGCCACTCCCCCTGAATTTTCACCCCACATTCAACATTACCTCCGAGCGGCCATCCGTATCTACATTCTTAGAGAGTGGATTACACCGAGTCTGAGCGGTTTTGCTTCGAAAAGTACGCAATTGATGAGCAGAATGCTGACCGTGCTCTTGTAATGCCATTTTCAGACTCTCACTCTCCCGAAGCCTCTTGTTGAGTTCGGCAACAGGCCTATGATTCTTCACCAGGTCGAAGCTTTGGCCTCTGCTGGTGTAACCGATATTGTTCTGGCTGTCAACTACAGGCCAGATGTCATGATTAGTGTACTGCAAAAGGTAGTCTCAATTCGCGATACACGTTCCCCGCAATGTCTCAGAAGCTAACAACAACTTTCCCATGACAGTACGAGGAGCAATACAATGTCAAGATTACCTTCTCCATCGAGACCGAGCCTCTGGGCACTGCCGGTCCATTGAAGCTTGCTGAGAAGATTCTCGGAAAGGATGACAGCCCCTTCTTTGTTCTCAACTCGGATGTCATCTGCGATTACCCTTTCCAAAACCTTGCCGACTTCCACAAGTCACATGGTCAAGAGGGAACAATCGTTGTGACTAAGGTCGAAGAGCCTTCTAAGTATGGTGTGGTTGTCCACCAGCCTAACCACCCCTCACGTATCGACCGCTTTGTAGAGAAGCCTGTCGAATTCGTCGGTAACCGCATCAATGCCGGTATCTACATTCTCAACCCCTCTGTTCTCTCTCGCATCGAGCTCCGTCCCACTTCTATCGAACAGGAGACTTTCCCTGCAATCTGCGCAGATGGACAACTACATTCTTTTGACCTTGAGGGTTTTTGGATGGACGTTGGACAGCCGAAAGATTTCCTCACTGGAACATGTCTCTACCTGTCATCTCTGGCTAAGAAGAATTCTAAGCTACTTACACCAGCCTCCGAGTCGTACGTGCACGGTGGAAATGTTCTGATCGATCCCAGCGCCAAAATTGGAAAGAACTGCCGCATCGGGCCAAACGTGACCATCGGCCCCAACGTTGTTATTGGCGATGGTGTAAGATTGCAGAGGTCAGTCCTTCTGCAAGGAAGCAGAATTAAGGATCATGCATGGGTCAAGAGTACCATTGTGGGGTGGAATAGCACTGTGGGGAAGTGGGCTCGTCTGGAGAATGTGACTGTTTTAGGGGATGATGTGACTATTGCCGATGAGGTTTATGTCAATGGCGGAAGTGTTCTGCCACATAAGACTATCAAGGCGAACGTTGACGGTAAGCTGATCTTGTGGATTGAACGGGTTTCTCACCCTTGCTGTTCGAACGGTTTCGCTAACGAGAAAAATTATAGTTCCTTCCATTATCATGTAAATTTTGGAAACATCATTGTCGAATTTTTATCATATTCGCTTAAATCTTTTTCGGCGGGCCCTCGATTTGTCGTGAGGGATATCTCTACTCTTGGTTTTCCTCGCGATTGATTCTGGATTATATTTTCTTGTAATCATCTATCTAGTTTCATCTCTGTGGAAAAAGTTATTACTGTGATGTTGGGAGTTTTGTCTCTTTATTTCTTGTCCATTCTTCATTTTTTATTTTATTTCTAGTTTTTTTTGAGCTTGGGAAAGGTAGGGCAGGGTATTGGAGGGAAGGTAAAGGGTGTGGTTGTGGCTACGCATTTAAAAATTGCCTGTGTTGATGGATGAAATAAGTAGTAAGGTGTGGTGGTTAAGAGGGACTTTGTTCTTTGTGATGACTGCGATGCTTGAATACTTAAAATTCGTGGAATGAAAAACTTTAGAAATGAGCAATGCTTAATTTCATAAAGTGGTGATGTAAATCATTGGACGCTTTGTAATACCAACATGGGTACCGGGTATTGGGATTCTCTTGGGGCCTTGGCTAGTTAAAGCTTGGTGGCTCGATGAAAAGCTTAACGTAAGTAATTATGGGTAAAGAAGGAAAAGAGAAAAAGAAAAGAAAAGAAAAAGCTAAGGCAATTGAAGAACAATCAGAGCCTCAGAAATCATGAGCAGCTGGCACAAAAAGCATGCGGTAATAAGATACTTTAGAAGTCATTGCATTGAAGCCTTCAAGGGACCTCGCCTACAACGTCCGTTTTCCCCACGCGACTCTAAAAGTCTCCAGCACATGTTCTGGTTCCTCCAGCACTTCGCTACTCCCTAAACGTTCCTTCAGGAAAGCTCCCAAATCCTGCCAGAACTTCTCCTCACCCAGCGCGCTCTTCTTCACAGCACCCTTATCCTCGCCAGGATCCACCAAGCCCTTGTCCTCAGGCGGTGCACTCGGCGCCGGCGAAGCCCCGCCCATGACCATGACCGTGAAGCCCACGTCCACACCATCCACAATCCCAAGCTCCTCTAGCGTCTTGAGATCCGTTAGGACCTTGCCCTTGAGGAGGAGCTTGAGCTTGTCGATCGGGAGGCCGGTCGCTTTCGAGAGGTTGTGCTTGAGCGTTAGGATCGTGGAGCTGAGGGGCGTGCTAGGGATTTCATGGCTGATCTGGGCGCCGCGGAGCGACTTGATGCTGATGTTTGCTGCAGGTGGTAGGTTAGCTTTAGCTTTAGCCAAGCAAAGTGCTGGGGAGTACTGGGGAGGGTACCAGAGGGGATTGAGGTGGTGGTGCTGGACGTGGTGCGCTTGGTTTTGGGCTTCTTGGTGGGCGGGAGGGTGTACTGTGATGTGAGTGGTGGTCAGCACTGGTAGAGCTGGCTAGCTAGCTAGCTAGAGAGCTTGTAGGGCTGCAGGGTGGTACGAACGGGAGTGCGCGAGGGGAGCTTTCGCGGGTCTTCGCAGAAGTCGGCTGGGATGTGGACGTTGCGGGTCGCGAGGGTTGCGAGGAACTGCTTGGTGAAGCTGAGCTCGGTCATGGTGGTTGGCGTTGTGGAATTACTATTATGGAGGTAGGTGGTGGGTGATATGTGGTGGCCAGTGGGGTGGGTAGGGTATAGGTAGGCGGGTACACGTCAATCATTTGGTGGGGTTCAGAAGCGGTTACCCGGAGCGGGATCTTCATGGAGTATCACTCGGCGATTGTCATTGGTTGGGCGGTGGGTGTTTTATGACGGGTCTGTTAAGGTGTGCATCTGAGCTATATGTCGACTGTTAAGTCACTAATATATTTAGCTGGTTAATGGGTTAAAGTGCAATTCCCAATTCCTCTCCCAGTGCTATATAGTGTGTAGTCTGGAAGGCACTGCGAGTACTCATTCAAATTGAGATAGCTCAGAATCCATGTTGGTCAAAATCATCGCTCATCAAATGATGCCATATAATCTGATTTAAAACCGTAGCATCTCGGGGCGTATTCAGTCTGCGTTAGGTTAGTTATGGAGCTTGTTAGTAGGTAATTGGCTCGCTCTAGTAGGATAAAAGAACTACATAGAGGCTAGAGACATAATCTGCACATTTCAATGCTCACCATATCGGAGTACATAAGCTCAATATACACATTTTCACTCCTCAAAATACTTATGGGAATAAGACTCTTATTTCTATCATCTAAGTAAGTAACAACCTAGCTACTAAGTGCAAATCCCCCTTTAAAACCACAACGAGTGCTAACCCATGACCCCATACCATCCAACGGAAGAATGCTACAAAGCCCCGATACCGAAGCAAGATCTTTTTCAAAAGAATAAAATCTACCAAACCAGCTCCGTAGAGCCCCTGGAAAAAGGATACTCCTGCCCATCCGCCGCCATATAGACGCCATTCCTGAGCAGGAATTTCCAGATTGTTCCCCCGCGCTTGACCTTGCTCTTCTTGACGACCTCGTAGAGGCAGACGACTGAGTTTTCGCCGTCCTCCTCGTCGTCATCGTCTTCCTCGTCGTTGCTTTCGTCGTCCTCATCGCGCTCGCCGTAGGGGCCGATGGCCTCGTCGTCCTCGTCGAGTCTGCTCTCGTCGTCGTTCTCGTCGAGTTCGGTCTCGTCGTTGTCATCATTACCGTCGAGCTGGGGAAAATCCTGACTCAGGTAAGGCGGGAAGACCTCACCGGCGAGATGGGGTGGAAAGACCTGATCGACGAGTGCCTGTAGCTCGGGATTGATATCCCACTCAGGGGCAGGCTGGTTGCTATCGGTCACTTCAGGGATGGCCATGGGTGTTTCTGTGGGTATTTCTGTGGGTGTTTCTGTGGGTATTTCTGTGGGTGCTTCGGTGGGTGCCCCCGCGAGTACTTCTCTGGGTACCTCCGTGGCAGGATTCCAGATGTATGAGTCGGTGGGCGAGGCGTCACTGCTATATGACTGAAAGGGAAGGGTGCTGTCCCAGTAGAGCTCCCCTTTCGCGGTTAAACGGATGCCGCCGGTCTGCTGTGACGCGCTGTCGGTGAGCTGCTGCACGGGCGGCATGGGCTTTTGGATAGTGTTGAGGAATGCCCATTGATCATCCGAGATGCCGACGGGCATAGAGGAGGCTCCTTGCGCCTGTGATTGCTCGGCCTGGGCGGGCCTGGTATTGTTACCACCAATCAATGTGGTCCCTTGTAGAGGCAACTGAGGAGGGATTTGCTTTCGCTGCATCTGCGCACTGGCCACACGCTGCCGGTACGTTTCCGCGAACCCAGTGAACTCCATTCCTGTAGTCGGTGGTGGAATCGGGGCCGCCATCGCCGGCGGAATCACACGGCGCTCATATGTACCCCTGGAATCGGTCGCCGCAGCAAACCTCGTCTCGTGATTCCTTATAATAGCTCTCGCCTCGTTATTCCTTGCAGCGATTGCGGCCGCAGTCCGACTCTGGCTCTCGGCCCTATTGATGGCCGCTGAATCCCGCGAGCAGATGCTTGAGGCCGCAGAAACCGCTGCCGCCGCTCTAGCAATGTCAATGGCATTGGCCTTCAGCGTTGGTGGCATCCGTGACTCAAGATACCGGTCTGCGCGAAGGCGGGCTTCATAGTTCCGCGCCGCCTCCGCGCGTTCGCGACGCTCAATGTCCTCTCTTTCGCCCGCATCCCTCAGGAGGCGCAAGCGCTCCTGACTGCGGATCGATGCCATCATACGGTCCATCTCGTTTGGGTCGTTGGAGTCGGCGAGCTGACGCGAGCGCCGCATCATATGCTCCATGTGCGCGATCTCGGACTTTGTGTGCGTGCTGAGAATATGCGAGGTGAAGGATGGCGGGAGCTCCGGTTTGGCAGCTGTGGTGGGAACAGATAGCATCGGGTGCGGGGGTATTTCCGTTGACACAGGCGGCGTTGGACTTGGTGGCCGCAGGATACGCCGCGGCCCGCCCAGCCTCTTTTGCACAGGCTCAGGCTCAGGTTCCGGGGAAGAGGAAGTAGAAGGGGGCTGAGACTCCCAGGGGAAGAGCTCGCCGATACCTGCTTCTGTGAGATTCTGCTTCCAAAGCTGTGTGGAAGGACTCGGGATTAGTTATTGAATATTTGAATTTACTTGCTTTGGGTAGTCAATGATCGTCTGGCGGGTTTTGCGCAACTAGAACCCTAACCCTGTAATTCTTGGTGGAAGGGACACTTGAACTTACCGATTCGAGCTCGGCGAGAAGGGAGACGGAAATACCAGCGTCTTCAAAGGTGGTACGGGCGGCGTCGATGACATCTGCCATAACAAGAGGGTAGAGCTCCGCCTATGTTGGAAATTGTATTAGTATAGAGATGCGGTGGGCCGGTGGGAGGGAACTTACAGCATTTGTAGCCCTCTGATTTGCCGCCATCAGAGATTGATGCTGGGGCAGAAAATGGTGGGAATGGAGGAGGCTTAGACAGAAGTAAAAGCGACAGATTGCGCGTTGGGATGGAGGTTGATTTTTGTTTGTGTGTGGTGGTGGTGGGGTGTTGTAGTTTTATCTGGGGGCACTTTCGCTGCAAGTGAGGGAGAGTGAGATATGCTGTGAGCGCGCGTATGTGTGAGCATGGCTACAGAGAATAGAATGGAACTGGCGGGCGCGGCAGGCATAGTATGTGCGTATCCGAACGTTGGGTGGGCTTAGGTCGATTGGGTCATGATGGAGAGCAAATACCTTGACCGTTGATTGACTGAGCTAGATGTCATGTAGCTACATACACACATTACAACACCGTCTTCTCATTGTAGTTGTATATGTGTATCTTAAGTATATGTTTCGAGAAGTAATGTCCTAGGAATCCCGAGCACGGCTAAGTGCTGGTCATCCAGTATCCATCAAGCTAACTTAGGAAATGAAGTCGCCAAAGCACCACTACATGTAGCTGGTGTTCGGCTATCTTGAGCTACATGTAGGTTAAGAAAGACCTGGGTTGCGTACATACGTGTAACTTTGTCTTTTCGGTGGGATGTAACTGTGCTGGCTGGGGTGGGGAGCACGGGTGGACAGGCCCGCGCCAGCCAGGGGGAATGCTACACCAGCTTTCGTTCCTCGTCTGATCAGGACCAAACATACATGTAGTCTCATGCCAATTCTCTACGAGCAGCAAGTTGCACACCGGACCAAACGCACCTTTGAGCCAATGCATTTCGCATACAAATGCTCTATATCATCATCAAGTCGTGCGCGTGAGGACTACGATAAAAATGCGAAATGAAATCTAAACTCAAAGCATTATGATCAAAATAACAGACCGAAGTTTTATACAAACTGTAAGTAGAACAAAAATATCATAATCAGAAGACCAGCTACGGCCACGGAAAACGGTGATTGGGATAGAGCTTAGCCCTGTGCTCCAAAATTGACAGAGACGTAAAACTCTGTGCACTGCTACTCACGTTCACACCATGACTTCCACTCCGGTGATCATTTAGACCACAATTGCTCTACCCCATTACTTTCAACACTCAATTCCTACTGAGAATCATTCTAACCCCGGGTCTATTCCGCACTAAAAATCAGCGGCTACGTAACTAAGGACTGGAAGCAAGCCTTCATATAACTATTGGCCGTGCTCGCTTAATGGATGGGTTATGAGTGGTATTAATTGAGCACAATCCAAGGTGTGATGACGCTCCGAGAATTCGTGAGGAAACTCTATTCTCAGCTTCCTACCCATGGCTTTAAACGGTATCGAGGGTGATGAGAAGAAAGAGGGTTTTGGTTTGCGTTGAGATGCATTGTTCCTTTCTATTGACGGTATAAAATTCCCTTAGAAAGGAGTTTTCTGTAACCGTTTCAGCATAGAAAATCAATGACTTGACCGACTGGTCGGGCGACTGAGCGGGCATAAACGTGCACGATATGTCAGAAATTGATATATGAAAAGATTTGCTCACAATTTTTCCATATTGGGCGTTGTGTTGCCTCAAGATGTTTTTGTGCTCCAACACTCAAGTCGTATATATATACATGTATGTGCAGAGGATTGATGTAGCAAGCACCATGCGCTACACGCGCACGCCTTAAGCGCGCTTCGAATTATCATTACCCCGTAACCAGGACAAAGGGCATTGTGAAGCCTAGGAATGGATGAATAGCGACTCGGTCTACTTCCCGAGTAGGAGCCCTCGTACGACATGATGCAGAGTACATAGATTGGAGTACATACAGTCTGTGGAGTAAACACATGTACTCGCTACGGTTGCGTATTGGTGCATGATGGAGAGATCACTTTTCGTATCTGCTGATTTATCATTTGCGCAACAACCTGATTAATCTTCCCACTGTGATTTTCCTTGTGATATCGGCGGCTCCATCTTGCCTGGGTGCTATTTACATACACTGGCATGCCTTTAATTAAGAGAATCCTCGTCGCGATCCCAGGCGCAAATGGACGTGTGGAATGCGGAGTACTTGCAGTTGGCTGTCGCCATAATGCATATTACCTTGTACCCTTTGCTGTATGACATATGTAGGAGCACGTGTGGGTATTCGGGGGAGCTGTATGTTGAGTAACATAACATGTACCTAGAGGGAAAACATATATAGAGTAGAGTAGGAGCACAGTATCGGGGAAAAAGGTTATCGCGCGTACCGCAACACGCGAGCTCCACGCTCCTCCGGACCCCCCGCCAAAAGTTATCTAGTTCCACAACTTTCCCCCACACTTCCCGCATCTGAGCGATCGCTACACATCATCCTACCAACGCAACCTTCCAACTCTCCCCCCGGACGGACTAGACTGGAAGTCGACGATCTATCCCACTTCACCTCCTACGTCTACCTCCTCTTTCAATATAAACCTCTACCTACCCCCCATCTTCTGGATCTCCCACACCCCACTTCCCGCTACATTCCACCCATCAATGCACCTACTGCTGGGCTCTGGAGCACCCCGTAAAGAACCATGTCTGAAGCTGTTCCCGGTTCTCTCCCACGGCCTCCAAGTCCAGTCAACCCATCGTCTTTCCTGCGCCCGCAGCAGAAGCAGAATCGCCAGCAGCAGCCCATAGACATCGTCGATAAGGAGCAGGCTGAGGGATTGGTATGACTTCTCCCCTTCTTCCCCGTTACAAGGCGCTCAGGTAGCAGCTACTGACCTCCGATGCAGCGCGCTATCCGCGACTTTCTAAAGGTTAGAACTACTTATGACGTATTACCGGTTAGTTTTAGGCTTGTGGTGTTGGACACAAGTTTGTTAGTTAAAAAGAGTCTGAATATTCTTGTGCACAACGGTTAGTAGGAAATGAGCCTCCTCCTCCTCCATCCCCCCTCCCTCCTCCCCCCTCTCCTCCATCTCCTCCTCCATCTCCTCCTCCTCCTCCGGAATGTTTGAGAGAGGCGTAGAAAGCTAAAGCGGCGGGTGCAGGAATCGTGTCGGCACCATTATGGAATTCAAAGACGTCTACGTTTGCGGGATTGCTTACGAGCTCGGACTATATCAATGTCATCCAGTACTATTGGCAGTATCCAGAGAAATTTGAGGAGATTGAGGGATTCAAGTTGGATAGTTTGAGAGGTATGGATTTCCCTTTTTTTTCCTTTTTTTTCCTTTTTTCCTTTTTCCTTTTTTTTTTTATCATGTGAAGCTGGGCTAGATTGAAATTGTGCTAATGTGTGTGCGGGTAGATATCGAAAGAGCCATTGGCGTCACTCCAATCGAAACTGTTTCCGTCCACCCACTTGTGCCTCTCTACGATGCCTGTAGGCGCATGCTAAAGTCTCGTGCTCGCCGTATTCCGTTAATTGATTTTGACGACGAGACGCAGCAGGAGATGGTTGTGTCTGTCTTGACCCAATTCCGTATTCTTAAGTTTGTGGCGGTAAATGTGCGTGAAACGCAGATGCTGCGTAAGCCGATAAGTGAACTTGGAATTGGAACTTATGATAATGTGAGCACGGCGAACATGGAGACGCCGGTCATTAATGTCATCCATCAATTGGTCGAGAAGGACATTAGTAGTGTGCCAATTGTGGATAATCGAGGTATGTCTACTCCCTCCCTCTCAATATTTCAAGGATAGGCACTCATGTAAGTGTATAGGAGTGCTTTTAAATATCTACGAGTCTGTCGACGTCTTAACTCTCATCAAAGGAGGTAGCTATGAAGAACTCAACCTCAGTGTAGGAGAAGCTCTTTTGAAGCGCCCCGATGTAAGCTTTCGTCCCTCTTTCTTCTAGTTCTATGTCTAACAATTACCAGGACTTTCCCGGAATTCATACATGCTCTCCCCAGGACCGTCTAGATGCCATCTTTGACACAATCCGCCGTTCCCGTGTGCACAGACTTATGATTGTTGACGGCCACAACGTCTTTAAAGGAGTTTTAACACTAAGTGATATCCTACAGTACCTGCTCCTTGACGGTGAAGTCTAGAAGCTATAGTAGGGTCCTAGAAGCATTTTTATCTTTGTTGTATGCCTACCTCAAACCTACTGAATACGTTGTATACTTATCTAGCATTTCACCTATTCCCCCCATCAGCCATATTACTGCCATCACCACTCTGCATCTTATCTCGGCCCATAGTTCTAGTTCTTTTATATAGTTTGGATGTGAGAAACCTTTAACATCTTAGCCCCCTCACATCCGCTCCCTCTTTTTGTATGTCAACCCTCCTCCCCTCCTCTCTTGGAGGTGAAGCGGGTTTTCCCTTATTTTTATTTTTTACCTTCTCTTTGTCGTCTCTTATTTTTACTCTTTCTATTGGCGGTTTGTGACTTGCTTCTTTGTTTTGTGTTTGTAGCTTGCGTTCAAACTGATCGGCGTTTCTGGAGGTTTTGGATGTGTTAGCGGGATTGCTATGATAACGGTTGAGAGGGGAGGGGATGGGGAGATCAGGAGAGGACTGATTGAAGAGTAATGATACTATATTAGCTAGATGGATTTTACTTTTGTGGCTGCATCGTGCGATCTAACCATTGGTATGCACCGGGAGCCAGGGGCGGCGGGGTGCCTGGCCGGGAGATGTGAACGGAAATCTATCCATAGTGAACTATAATGCCCGAAAGACACCTGCCGGTGTGCCAATCTATCTTCGATGGTTATCATCTCCACACTCCACTCTGCAGGAATCACATGGTGCCCCATCAAACCTTGTACTTTCTGCACATAAATATCGTGGCCGGGAACTCCCTTAGTGTTTTCGTGTTCTGTAATATCAGTAGACTCAATCTACACTCCACCCTGTCCACGTGGCGGGAGTTGTAATAGGTACACATCCCGGAGCGGGCGAATCAAGCTCTAGAGAAGTCGGGACGGCTCATTGAGTCTCCGGTCTGGTTCCTTAGTGTCCTATATAGATATAAAAGGGGGTAGGTGGTAATTCATTTGCCTGTGGAGGATCTACACTTGACTGGGGTAACCGGCATAACAATGACTGTCTCCCCGCACCTTGGGGGCGCAGGTTTGCATTCGTATTTCATGTTCTAGATGACTCACCCATGGAGACTTAACTATGACTTAATCTAAGGGTGTAACTACGGTTGTGTTTGTGCTTATGGATGTCATCGTGGTCGGGGCTGTTGTTGGTGAAAGGTTGTGGTGGTGTTAATCAGGGTCATAGGTTGTCACTCGGTATCGCCGGTCATGGCGGGTGGTTTTGTTCCTGATATAGATGTGGTAAAGGTTGGCCCTATCACTAGTTATTATTGAATCTGGGATCTTTTTCTCTCTCCTTACACTCGGGACCTATGGTTTGGGGTGCTGTGCTAACTATCCTACTATGAATCCTGTGGACTGATACGCGGGGTGAGCATGATGCAAATATCGATAATCCACTTCTCAATATCGATATTGCTTTGCGCGGCTGTGCAATGACTTATCATATGGTCGCTAGATCTTTGGCAGAAAACTGGTACGGGCCGACTTGAATGATATGGATGTTGATATTGGGGAGACTATAGTTACTTGGCTGGACAAATTTTGCCGTTGTAGTAAGTATAGGATCTCACGGCTATTTTGTAGAGTGTAACTAGGCTTCCCGTCGTCATTACTGGACAGAGACAAGCTTCCCCACCACTACAAAGCCTTGTTCTAGCTCTGACTCCACATAAAGACTTCCACCACCCAATCACGCCTCCGCCACCAAAGACCAAACAAAGAACAATCCCAATATATACCTCCCGCATCCCTCCCCACTAATATCCAAACGCACCCCAAAGACCCACCGGCACAATGACACCCAACCCAAACAGGACGCACCTCAACTCCGTAATCACCTCGCGCTCGCACCGCCGCCGCCGGGTCTCCTCCCTAGTCCCCGTCTCGCTCCTCCCCACCCCCAGCTCGATCGTCAAGACCAACCCGGCCGTCATCCCGCCGCTCATAGCCGCAAGACTGATCAAGATCAAAGCCGCAGAGGCTCGCGGGCCCACGGTGCCCGATGAGACAAACACGTACCCGTATCCGGTAATTGTGGTGTGGCGTGGGAAGTATTTTCCGGTGTTCCCGGGGTCGGTGGATCATGGGGGGAGGCTCATGAATGGTAGGCTGGCGGCTGCGAAGGTGAGTCCTTGATTGCTCTTGGATCGAGTGGGGGGGGGGATTATGGGGTGCTGATGGAGAGGGGGAGTAGATGAATGAGCCGTTGCTGTCGACGGCGTTGTGGGCGAAGAGGCCGGCGTGGGAGATGTATGAGGCCATAAAAGGCATTCTGAGCGCCGGGTGGGGGTATAATAATTCGAAGGACGAGTATGTGTTGAATATATGGGGGTATCATGAGGTTCGTGGTTTTCTTCATATTCAAATTATTTTGATCCCAAGGGTTAACGTGGCGCCTGTACCCACTAGGAAACAACACTCCTCACAACACTCGACGATATCTGTAAGCAATACTTCCGGACCCAGGTGGACGGGAGCAAGCGGCGCGGCCCGCTGGTGCTGGGATTTAGGCCGTATGCGTGGGCGAAGAGAGACTGAGGTCAGCCGAGTTAGGGATTGTGGCTGGTAGACCTCTTTGTTCGTGAATGCGTGGGGAACAAAGAAAACGGGTTCCCCATATGTCTATGTACTTGTGGTTTAAGCAGAGCGGTATATAATATAACGATATCTATATACTCATACGTGTAGTCTTTTATATAAAATGTTATCTTGACTTTAGATGCGGTGAACTATGCAATTAATGAATTAAACAAAAAAAAAAAAAAGATGCGGTGAACCCAGTGCATGGTGAGGGTTAGGGTTGAGTGTATCAATGATCGGGATTGATTTTAGTGCATTCCAATCATTTCCGCATCAAATCCTGGCAGATCTCTTCAGTTACTCGGGGAAACAAAAGGACCCTGAACATGCATGTCCCGAATATAGAGGAAGTGGAGATATAATTATTATTATTGTGAGAATGAAAAAAAACGCAGAGTCTTTGAGTTGCGTGATGAGGGTGGTGTCTGAAGCTAGCCACCGGATCTGGATAGAGTCAACGCAAAGCAATAAGAATTACCTGTAACCATCCTTCTGAGGCCCATGTATTCACTTTTTATTTCGAGGCTCCACATAAGATAACATATCATGCCTTTCATGTAGGGTGTGAAGGGAAACAGAAAGTAAAATGGTGTTGTTAATAGAGCTGCTACAACTGCATGCACTTACTAAAGCCTGCATGGCATTTTTCCGGGACTTCGCCCAGGAACTAGCCGACTCCGAGAACGAGTGATCTTCCATGACCAATTACTAACAGTACTCGAGCCCCATGCCCTAACGATAGCTCAACTGGAGAGCCCGAGTCACGTGCAGGACGAGTCTAAACGACATACGTTGACCATCAAAGGAATGTCCAAGGCGTCCGTCCTGCGCAGTCTGTTTCTTTCCTCATCACCATCTTCACCCCTTCGCGTCGGCGAGAACATCCATACACATTTTTTCCGCGATCACCGCGCTCATTCCACTCCGGTCCTTTCCTAATCAATCAGAATCACCGCGTCGCGCGACAAAACGTCGGCCCCAGCCTCGTGACCTTCATCGCCTGCTAACTGCTACGCACACGACAGACAAAGCCAACAACGGTCTCTCTTCGCCGACACTCGCTTGCTTACTCACACTCCAACTTGCAAAAACAAAAAAACAAAAAAAATGGACGCGAAGGATGTCAAGGCGCACGTCGGCAACCTGGAGAAGGGAGTCAAGGAGAAGCTGCCCGCTCAGTACTTGCTGGATATCCTGGGTGCGCTGAAAAAGGAGGTTGTGGCCACCGAGCAGCTGTTGAGAGTATGCCACCCCTTTATGACGGCAAATTGCTATAGAACAGATTGGAAATTTCCACTACAATCCCGTAGAGAATGAGCGATAAATCAAAAAAAACCAATTTATGCCGTCTTTTTTTCTCACCCCGTACTAACTCGAACTCGCTCCATCGCAGGATACTAAAGTCGGAATGGCTGTTAATAAGCTGCGCATGAATCCCGACAAGACCGTCTCGGAACTTGCGAAAGAGATTGTCGCGAAGTGGAAGAAAGACGTGCACAGCAAAACAAAGCCCGGCTCGACCTCTGACGTCAAGAAGGAGCGAAACTCAACGGCATCTCCGACTACCGGGTCTAACCCAATGTCTCCCCCCAAGCCGTCGGGCAAGAAGCCGGATAGCAACAGCAAGGTGGACCCAGGCAAGAGGAATAAGACAACAGATAAAATCACCTGGGCGATTACCTCCGACCAGGTCAGGAATAATTGTATCGGCGCCATGTATGACGCTCTTGTCCTCAATGAGTTGGATGCAACTAGCGACCATATCTTCACTCTTGCGAAAGCTGTCGAGTCGTCGGTATTTTCGAATAACAAATCCAAGACCGACCAGCCGTACCGTCGTCGTATGCAGGTCTTGTTCCTCAACTTGAAGGACACCAAGAATAACCTTCGCAGCCGTGTCGTGTCTGGTGAAATCACAGCTGAGCGTTTGGCGACCATGGAGACCTCGGAGATGGCCAGTGCTGAGCGAAGAAAACAGGATCAGCAAATCATTGCCCAGAATGAAAAGGACTCCATGATGCCAAAGAGCGAGAAGAGTATCAGTGATCAACTGACCTGCGGAAAATGTGGAAAGAAGAGAGTATCGTACACACAAGCTCAGACTAGATCCGCTGATGAGCCGATGACTACTGTGAGTTTCGCCCCAACTCCGAGTAGATCCAGCTACGTTGTGCTAATAGCAATTTTAGTTTTGTACATGTGAGCTCTGCGGTCACCGATGGAAATTTTCATAGATTTCTCGTGCAAAACGTACAGCTAAAAAAAAGTAAAACGAAAAATAAACTATCTTCAGATCAGTATCACACTTGGGGGTGCACTTCTTCATCTATTCTTTTTGGATGGAGAGGTGCACCCCCGTTTTATGTATATTAAGTTAGGGGATTTTCGGCAAGATTTTTCTTCCTTTGCCATTGTTTTCCTTTATAAGGCCTTGGAGGTAGCAGTAGTAGTTGAGCGCTTTTTCTTCCTCTTCCAATCTCCTTCGTAACCTAGGGTAAGTGCTCCGAGTCCTGGTCTAGGGAGTCGGGGGGTTAGGAGGTTTGTGTGTTTTTAGTTTGGACATTTTGTTTCTTTCTACATTCTTCTCAGTTCTTAATTTTTGTCCCTGAAGTATTTAAAGTAGTTACAGGGCGTTTTTTTTCCTTCTCTTTTTCTTTCCTGTTTCTTTGTTTTTGTGTGGTGGTAGCTCTGAAGAGATGGATTGATGGATGGATGGTCGGTGATGAGTATGGATTTTTACGCATGTTGAATGATGTCGTCGGTTCCTGGCGAGCTGGGCTACGGGCCGAATGTGTGGATGTTGAAAAATTGAGTGTGTGGTTCTTTTAGTCTTTTTCGTGCAGTTTATATTTGTTCGCGTGATGATTGGGGTGTGGCCTTAGAAAGTTGTGTAGTGAGGGTTTGATGCTCAGGCTCACAAGGGTGAATAGCGGGTTGTGATAATTGGCTGAGAATACCTGCGATGATGCCTGGCACTGGGATGGCACAGAGTGATAATGTATGATTCCCGTCCCGTGACACGAGTGTGGTAACAGCTTCATGAGACATCACTCCGACGGACGCCCCGTCACACGTGCAGTGACCGTGGAAAAAACTAACTAGCTGTTTCTGGTTCTCTTGATCATTTTTTGGATTGGTTGGTCTTGGAAGTGGTGTTCTTCGAAACGACTCCTGTATAGTGGGAAATCGTACTCTTCTTTGTTTACTGGAAATATTTGGTATCGGGGTTTATGCAGGTCTGCAGCTGGTTATGGGCTATGTTTGCCAAATGAGGCATTATGGAGGAGAAGGAGAGGGGGAGAGGTTTGCACACAAAGGGAGAACGGGTTGTGGCGATGCTGTATTGGAGTCTTTTCTATTTGTAGGTGCACTGCGTGCATTGCTTGTATAAATGTATCTTATTCCCCTTAATTTTTAATTTATACATGTAGGCAAAGATTTTCACTTCCAGAACCAGGTTTTTAACGTTAAACATGGAATAATAACATGATTGCCGCCAGAATAATAAGTTCATTGAACACCACTCCCCAAATAAAAAGTTTCCAGTTTGGTATTTACAAAACAAAACAAAACAAAATAAAAAACAAGAGATTATTACCCACTCACTAAACAGAGCTCATCACAGAGGCGTTCTTGTACCAGTTGAGCATCGGGTTATCGCCACTCTGCGTCTCCGTTTCTTCCAGGAAAGCCCAGCTCTTTAGGAACTCCTCGTGCTTCATGACTCTGGTGAGGCGGCCAGTTAGTGCTTTGTACATGTCATCCATCACGTCAAAGTCTGTGGGGAAGAGAATATCAAAGAGGCCTTGCTGCACCTGTTCACTATTAGTTTCCTCCTGTTCCTCAAGACTTATGACAAGCACTTACAAAAGGCGTCGAAACAGGAATACTAGTCCGTTTATATCTAGTTTGCACTACGGGGGCATTTACGCCCTCTATTGCATCTGGTAGAGCGTGGAAGTCGCTCATGAGCAGCTTATGGGCGGGGAAGTTCTCCCTCAGCACGTCGAAAAAGCCCATCATCTTCGTTGGGATAAATTCAGGTTTGCTTAGGTTCGGCGTGAACGGCAGTGCCTCTCTCAGCTTTCTTAGGATCTTTGGGGTCCGTAGAGGATGTTGGAATCCCGGCCTTGCAACGCGGGATCGGATCTTTAAAAACCTCTCTGCTACCGGGTCTAGATGGGGCGTGTAGAATTCATGGAAGTCCCCTTGCTTGTCAATCATTACGACACCTTGCAGGGCCCGCTCCGTCTCAGGGTCGTAACGGATCATGTCGTGCGAGAAATTGTCGAACACCTCGAGCGCGAGGAAGAAGCAGGGATCAGGAACGTAAGTATCCCAGTCAAATATGCTCTTGTTCACGATCTCAATCTTGTCCGCGTGTGGACCTTGAGATGCTTGTATACGCTGCAGTTCCGCAAGAGACGGCGAAATCTCAATGATTCGGTATTTTGTACGTGCATAGACGTCGGGATCCGTATTGCGGATGTGGTCCAGGATGTTACCCATCATGGTACCATTCCCGGCGCCCATCTCGTAGATGATGAGGTCGTGATAGGGGAAGAGCGACAGTTTGTAGTTCTCGACAAGGTACCGCGAGATGGCTTCGCCATAGTAGGGCTTGAAGAGCTCTGTGGGTGTGTGCCAGAGCTGGCGGATGTCGGAGGGGTGCTTAGCATCGAGTGCGTCCTCGAAGGCCGTGTAGGCCTCCCCGAGATTGCGTTGGAAATCGGATTCGTCAATGAGGGCGGGGAAGTTGAAGGCGTGCGGGGTGGAGAAGATGACGGCGTATTTGGAGAAGTAACCGTAGTTGGGATTGTATAAGCTGTCTGCAACGATCATATGTATACGGTGATTAGGAAATGGATCGTAGATCTTCTTCTTCCTGCGACGGGGACACACCGTCGATAAAGTCCCGCACAAGCATTTTCACCCTCTTGGGCCTTTCCGTACGGGTTGCCAATTGCTGCGCGGTCACCATAGGGTATCGCTCATATTCATCTGAGCGGTCCCGCTGGAGAAATGTGCTTCGCGGCTGCCATGTATTCTTGTCACTGTCTGGCGCAACAGGGAGTTTAAACCCCATAAGGTTTCGCCGCTGAGCATAGCCATTGAGGCTAGCGCGAAGCCGCAGGTGAGCTCTGCGGTGGAACAGAGATCTGAAAAGGGACGACACAAACGGGGAATCCATTGATGTTCGGTGGGTGAGAAAGCCACAAAAAAGATCGTTGCAACAGGTGGTGGGGTTGATCGCTGCGGCCGCATGCTCCCCACCATCACCGACGTCACAAGCTTCCCCACGTCTCGAGTCTGCTAATCAAGTCTCTTAATCGAGTCTTTTCTCGTTCCCTTTCTTTTTTCACATCTTCTTTTTGTATTTCACGACCACATAATCTTCAAAATTACAGGCGAATGGACAGATACGATCAAACAAAGCTCCTCCTTAGCGGAATAGTCATCGGCGCTGGCGCCGTTCTCGCAGTTCAGACAATCTCTTCAGTCCGACGACAAGATTCAACAAAAAAAACCCAAATATTAAAAGAAGATATAAGAAATGGACTCGAGGATTGCATCGGAAATACCCCTTTGATCCGAATAAAACACCTTTCCGAAGCTACGGGCTGTGAGATTCTAGGTAAAGCTGAGGTATTATATACCGTTTACTTCGTTCCAATATTTACTAACGACAAAATAGTTCCTGGAGCCCGGTGGTTCAGTGAAAGACCGAGTGGCGCTTAAGCTTATAAAAACTGTAATAACCTCTCTCTGATTTTCTTTACTTCGTTTGCGCTTTGTTCTTTCTGTCCCAACCCAATCTTCCCCGGAATGATGGAAAAATGCTAATAGATTAGTTAGGCCGAGGAGGCTAATCTTCTCACTCCTCACAGCGGTGACAAAGTGTATGAAGGCACTGTGGGCTCCACCGGCGTCTCTTTGGCCTTTATCTGCCGCGCCCGCGGATACCTTGCCCATATCTGTATGCCAAATGACCAGTCCACAGAGAAGTCTTCCCTTCTACTGAAGCTCGGTGCCATGGTTACTCTTGTGCCTCCAGCTCCCATAGTCGACAAAGGCCAGTTTGTAAACCGTGCGCGCGCTCTCGCCGCTGCCCAGACAGCCTCGGAGACAGAACCTGGGCGTGGATTCTTCGCGGACCAGTTTGAGAACCCTGCGAACTGGAAGGCGCACTACGAGGGCACAGGCCCGGAGATATATCAGCAATGCGGCGGTCGTGTTGATGCCTTTGTGGCAGGCGCTGGAACTGGTGGAACCTTGAGCGGCGTGGGGAAGTACCTAAAGGAACGTCTTGAGAGTGTTCGTGTGGTGCTGGCTGATCCCCAGGGAAGCGGCCTCTATAACCGTATTAAGTACGGCGTCATGTTTGACATCAAAGAGCGGGAAGGCACCCGGCGTCGACCTCAGGTCGACACTATAGTAGAAGGCATTGGTATCAATCGTGTCACCGCCAACTTCGAAGCAGGCCGCCCCTATGTCGACGATGCTATCCGCGTCACTGATGATGAAGCGTTAGCGATGGCAAGATTACTTGTAGAGAAAGAAGGCCTCTTTGTAGGTAGTAGCAGTGCAGTGAACTGTGTTGCTGCTGTGCGGACGGCGATGAAACTAGGCCCAGGACATAGAGTGGTCACTATTCTATGTGACTCAGGGACCAGGCATTTAAGTAAATTTTGGAAGAAGGCTGGGGAAGTGGCAGGCGACGAGGAAATGACCTTGGACGGAGTATTAGGATGCGGAGAGGTAGGGAAAGGGGTGAGCTTAGAAGGTGAGAAGAGTGGATATGGAGTATAAGTTGGTGTATATATCTTGGGCACCGGACAGAATGAGAGATGTAGTGCTAGCTAGTGGCGTCCCTCAATATTAATGAGCTCGAGAGTTACCCGCTATATTGGGGGTATGGCGGCTGCGAACGCTCGTTGAGGGGCAGATTCTGTAAAAGAACTACTGAGCAGCTAGATTTATATACAAACAAAATGGTAAGTACTTGGGGGTGAATGAAAGGTAAAGTTGAGTTTCATATAAAGAAAAGTAAACTACATGTAAGCTCGGCTGCCAATTAATTCCGGCGAAAACTAGCACTAGCTTACGTACGGGATATTATTTAATAGCTATAAAAAGCATCGTCGAAGTAGGATAAAACTATGAGAAAACTACATGTATGTAGGTAGGCTTTTATGCTCAGCTTTCATTGTAATCGGTTTTTGTGGAGGTTTATATTCGCAGTGAATAGTGCTACGGAAGGAAGCTTTATTCAAGCATAGCATTGGATATCTAATAAAGTAAGTTTTGAGAGAGGAGAAAGATGTGTCTCTATCCCTCTCTCACCACTTATTTGAAATCTCACGCACCTGGGTACATGTATGGAGTTACATGTATTGTCTATATGTAGTACTTCAGTTTTCCAGTCAATCTTACGGGTTTTATGGATATATATCATCGTACAGGGAATCTTGGATTTATTTGCTTTAGTCCATGATATAAGGGAAAATTTGGCTAATCTTCCTTTGGTTTTTAGCTAAACAGGATGCCTTGTTCTTTCCTGAATAAGGCCCCATATGCACTCAGATATAAACCACTTAATCAATTGATCAACCTCATATCATATCTACCCCGTAAAAAGGAGACACAGAAATACCCCCACATAAAAAACGGTACACCCTAGATCTCTAAACCATATAAGAAATCAGAATAGGGGACAAGATCACACGCTCTTAGAGAATCCCTTAGATTTTCTAATATTGTCAACCTTCCTAAACTTGCTGATTGGTTCCTCGTCCCCATTCCCATTCCCGTCCCCATTCCTGTCCTCGTCGTCCCCACTCTCATCATCATTCCCGTACCCCTCACTATTCTCGCCATCCTCGCCATACTCGGTGGCTTTATGATTATCATCCGAAATCTCGAGCTCTCCCCTCCTAATAACCTCGACTTCTTCTAGCACTTTTGACTCGGCTTCCGATAAATCGATCCAGAAAGCTGGTTGACAACCGGAGTTGTCTTTGGAGTTTTCTTTATGATCCCTGTGAACCCGTTGGACGTGGTGTTTAATATTGATGACACGCCTCCTAACTTGCTGGCAGAAGTTGCATTCGAACCACGGTACACCTCTTTGGGGGAGCAAGTCTTTAGAATCCATACCAATCATCGAACGTCGTCGAAGCTCGTACACGTCCCACTCTTCGTGCCTGTCTTTGATGTGGAGGAGTAGTGCATGATCTGATTTACCGGTGTAGCAATGGCAGTGGTGACATTTATATATTTCCTCATATTCGTAGGGGAGTTCTTCAGCTTTCGTGGTGCCGATAATAGCTGCGGACACTTGATATTTGTCTTCACTAGGATGAGCTGCCTCGACATGATCTCTGATGGCTTCCATGTGAGAAGTCTTCCACATGCAGAGAGTACAGGTATATGACTTGAAGCGAGCGTCTCTTTCCTCCGATTCGGCAAGACACTTTGCTATAGTGGCAGCCGTCCCTTGACTTTTGTGGCGTTTTGCGATATGATCCTTGAACAAGTGTTTGTCGGTGTGCCAGTAAGGACAAACATTGCATAGGAAGATGCTGACGGTGCAGTCAAATCCCTCTTTCTGCTCAATTTCGACCAATGTGTTCGCTACGTCCAATTCTGGATGATCATCTTGAATGTGTGCCCGTATACCGACACGTCGGCCGAAGTATTTGTCGCACAACCTACATTTGAACTCGGCGGGGTGGGCTGTCCTTTTATGATTGTTCAAAGCAGTCTTAGTAGGGAACAGCTTGTCACATTGATTACACTCATGGCTTTGAGTGGTATCAAGATGGACCTTTCCGTGTTTTTTTAACTCTCTGTTTGTTGTGTATCCTTTTCCACAGTTCTCGATTTGGCAAAAGAACGTTTTCTCACCCGGAGCTGTGCGTACTCTTGGACGTTTTTTGGTTTTGCTGGTCGTAGGAGCTGAAAAAGAATAGACGGTTCTAGGCTCTGTGGAGGGTCCTGCATGCTGATGATCCTGAGGGGACGGTATCTCAGAAATAGCTGGTGTTGTTGTTTTATTCGACTCTACAATCATGGGAGTGTTAGTTTCTTGAAGACTTTCTGGATAAATGAGGCCAAGGTTACCATGGAGGTCTTCATGAGTCTCTTCTCTCGACTTGTTTAAAGTTAATAGAGTTCCTGCTACCTCCTTATTCTTGTTCTCATTGACGTTCGGAGCTTCCCCTAGCACATCCCGTTCAACAAATCCGGAGATCTCTGCTGAGTAGTTGTTCGACATTTCGTACACGATGGTTTATGGTACGAAGCTTTGGTCAAAGTGGTTTACTGAGCTATTACACTAGGCACTTATTGATCGTAGACTCAAGAAGAGGTTTTATTAATGATGTTTTGGTTTAATCAATAGGGTTGTAAAGTGAGACAATCATGTTGTGGACTGAATCGGTGGTGGAGGTGGTGGAGGAAGAGCGGGATATTTATGGGATGGGATTGGAGCGAGTTATAGATACAGGTGGTTTGGAGAGGATGGGAGGATTGGTTTTGCATCGGGCGTAGGTGGGGGGGTTGGTTTTATACCGAATGTGGATGGGAGAATTGGTTTACACATGCGGGCAACGACCCTCAATCATTTCTCTTTAAACCACGGACAAGCATACTAGTCCCATAATTCTCTAGCTTCATAGATATACAATTGTCTTTTTCATATCTATTATGGTTATTAAAATATACTCATTTGTGATGGTTGTTGGTTACATGTAATTGTCGTTGGGTGCGTAGTTATTTTTGTCGTCCGACAATACGACGTCATACTAGGAAATGGCCGTGCTGCGCGACCTAGCTATTTTTCTAGTAGAGAGAAACGACGAAGCGAGAGAATTAATTACTTCTAGCTAGATCATACACCGGGAAGATCAATGACCTACAGATTTGGACAGGGACAATAGAAGCAGTAGCAGAGCCTTTTCGGACAGCATATCGGGGGGGGGGGGGGGGGTAGTTCTCAGTACTTTGCGGGCGGGGGTTATGTCTCGATCGCTGCAGGCATGATACAATATTGAATTCGAACTAATATATGGGTATAGCAGTCTCTAGGCTGGGCCCCCAAAGCTAGTGCGGTCTGTAAATCATAATTAACGAATTAAACAACAACAAAAAAAAAAACTATCTGTAAATCATGAAAGAAAGTCAATGAGTTATCAATCAATCAATCAATGAGATATTTGACCGAGTGATAGTTGATGCACAAGTACCAGAAATACGCTGCAAAAATGTGTAGCGGGAACCAGTGCTGAGAAATACGCATACGTGACTCATTGTATCGAGTGATATTTGGTGAAGATACCACCCGCTGCGCCCATGTCTTTTGCATGAAGCTGCTCATTTAATATCCAACTACAGCTACATGGCGTGACGTGACGCGACGCAACAGCACAATTAATTCTCTGGTGGTATTCGAATTCCCGTTATACACTTTTTCCTACACACACATAGAGCTACCTACCATGTGCCACTACATACATGTATCACGCCTACGCTTATATCAAGTAGCTACCACTGCCTTCAACAGCTAATATATATAGCCGGCGCCAAATAACTAACCTTCAGATATCGCACACGTTTCTCGCCCGCGGAGCCGGAGATTGGCCGTCTTTCGTATATACACTCAGCTCCAGGCTTAGTGGTTAGATTGTCTGAACGACTAGCGCGGTCGGTTGGTTGGTTCTGTTTCGTTCTGTTTCGTTCTGTAGTTTGAAGATCTGGGTGTGTGTGTGTGTGTGTGTGTGTGTGGTGGTGCTGTCATAAGTGCTACATGTATGTATATACAAGGCCGGCTCTGGGATTAAGTGAGTGAACGAATTCACACCAGTCAACACCCCATTTAGTTCACTCACTTAATGCCAGAGCCTTGTACATAGCTTCAATGCATACGTGCACTTCGATCATTCACCCCCGACCTATGTAGGCCTTATATACCTACCCTGTAGACTGCAGCCCTTCCTTCCACAAGAAGTAGCTATATATACAAGATACAAGACGTCACACGAAATCACTCTTCCCTCTTCTCTCTGTCCTAGCTAGCTAGAAAGCAAAGAAAGAAAGAAAGAAGAAAAAACCTCATGTAGATCAAAAAAATAAGTACGTTCTATTCATTACCAACCCACCCCCCACCCCCCACCCCCTCTTTCCCAACCTATATAATTCCTATTCCTATGTAGATGTAGATGCTAACATGATTCTTCCAGTAATTAAATGCTCTTTTTAAAAAATCTCCCTCCCCTGTCCGTCTTTCTTTTCTGTTTCGTGCTGTTCTGTTCTGTTCTGTTTGGTGTCTCTTCTTCGTCTTCTTCTTCTACTTCTTCTTCTTCTAGATAGATATTTTCTGACCGTGGAAAATAAGGATGATATAACCGCGAAAAAATAGCAACAAGAAGATCATGAGTAAATAAAATATAAAAAATGCAAAAACCAAAAAAGTATAAAAAGAAAGGAAACAAAGATTAAATCCCTACGCCAAACAAAAAAGCAATTTTTAAAAAGCCATAAAAGCATAAGCCATTAAAAAACGAAATAAAAGACAATCATTAAAAATATAAAAAAGACCCCCTCTCCCCCTCCCCCTCTCCCCTCACCCCCTAGTCCCCCGGCCCCCATCACACACACACCCTTCCCCTCCCCCACCTCACACCACACACTACTCCTCCTCCTCCCCCCTCCTCCTCATCCCCTTCAAACCCACCTGCACAACCTCCAACGCATCCCCAAGCCCCCCCAACACCCGATCCAGCTCCTCCCACATCCTCGGATCCCCCCATCCAGCGGCAACACCCCCACATCCAACGGCTCAATCACCGGAAACCCCACCCCCCCGGGCCCCCCGGACCCCCTCCACCCCCTCCCACCCCCTGCCCCCCAGCGCCACCCCACGGCCTCCCAGGACTAGGCGGTAACATCCCCGCCGCCGCCGCAGCCGGCAAATCCAGATTCAAATTCCCGGGCCTTCCCCCCGCCGGCCGGCCCCTAGTGATATCGGCGCTGCGCGACTTGCCATGCGGCACCGCCGTGCTCGCCAGCCGCAGCCCTCCACCACCACCGCCGACGCCGCTAGGCGGCGTCGGCGCGATGGTGGGGAGTGGTGGCGGGCCGTCGCGGATTACGGCGATGTTGGGTGCGGACTTGGAGGGGAGGTGGTGGGATTTGAGGCCGAGTTGCGGGGGGTGTAGTGGTTTCGGGGCGGCGAGGAGGGCGCTGATGCTGCTGTGCTGGGGCGGCGCGGTGTTGGTGTTGGTGTGGGTGTGGGTGTGGGTGTGGGTGTGGGTGTTTGTGTTGCGGCAGCGGGGGAGGGGGATACGGCGCGGTCGTCGATTGGTGTTGGCGGAGTGGGCGACGAGGAGAGGTTTGCGCGGTGCACGGACGCACCGGCTGAGTCGGCGCGGTTGCGGCGGATGCGCACTATCGGCGGTTGCGGCGGCGTTGGCGTCGATGACGGCACCACGGGCACCTTCACGGCGGCGGCGGCGGCGGCAGCGGTGTTAGGGCTTGCGGCGCGCTTCTCGGGCACGCGCAGACCGTTGTCGTCGAATGTGGGGATCGAGATCATGGATACCTTGTTCTCGGGCGTCGTACTACGGCTGCTCGCATCGCTGCGGAACGACGATTCATACGGGCCCAGGCCCCCCGGGTTCTTTACTGCTGCTGCTGCTGCTGCTGCCGCAGCAGCTTCCTCTTCAGGGCTCTGGAACAGCCGGACGAGTCCCTCTGCGGCGCGCTGGCGCGCGGCTTCAGAGACGCTGCGGTAGGGGGTTGGGGTGGGCGCTGGGGCGGGGACGGCTTTGAGCGTGCTGACGTTGCTGGTGCTGCCGCTGTTGCTCATCTCCTGCTTTATGTACTCCGACACGCCGCTGAGGCGGCTCTTGACGGTGTCAAAGTCCCACCCGGGCTCTGATGCGAGTGTGGCGTTGAGCTGGTCCATGTCGCTCTGGAGGGCGGCCTGCCACATGCTGTCGCGGACGCCGCCGCGGGAGGCCCATGCCTCGTAGCGCATGATGAGCTCGCGCATGAGTGATGAGGGGAGGCCCTTGGAGGCTTTGACGAATTTGGAGCGCAGCAGCTCGTCGACTGTTGCGCGCTCTTCGGGGACCTCGTTGAGGCACAGTGCGACGAATTCGCGTAGCGGGTTGGACCAGGTGCCGCCTTCGAGGCGCGGGGGGGGAAGGCGTGGGATCATGTCGACGACGCGGGAGGGGGGGATGTTGAAGAGGGGCGGGTTCTGTTTGGCCATTTCGATGATGGTGATGCCGAATGACCAGATGTCGATCTGGAGGTCGTGTAGTTAGCATGTGTGTCTGTGTTTCTGAGAGCTGTAGAGAGAGTGTGAGAGAGAGTGCAGACCCGTGAATCGTAGGAGCCGCCGGTGAGCGCTTCGGGCGCCATCCATTGCGGTGTCCCGACAAAGGTGTTGCGCTTCCCGTTCTTGCCGGCGAGCTGCGCCGAGACGCCGAAATCACACAGCTGCACTCGCCCGTCTTGTCCGACAAGTATATTCGCCGCTGCCATCACCATCATCACCGCCCCGTCAGCCAAAGCTCACCCATCCACACCCACACCCCAAGACACTGCAATGCCTGTCCGTACCTTTGATGTCGCGGTGTATGATCCCCTGCTTGTGCAGATATCCCAGCGCCGTCAGGGTCTCGCGCACTATGATTGTGATGTACTTTTCGTCGATGGGCCCCGCTTTCATCTACCCCCTCTCCTGTCAGCCCTTCCCCTTCCCCACCTCCCACCCTTCCAAAAGAGCAACTCACCAAAGTGCGAACACTGCCCCCACTGCAGAAATCCATAATGACCCACAGCCGATGCCCCAGCAGGTAGCTCCCGTGGAAGGCCGTGATGTTGGGCGCATCCCCGGCCTTGAGCTGCGAGAGCAGCGCGATCTCCTTCTGGATGTCCTTGATCTCGTCGTCGTGCTGGTCGAGGTCGAGCGACTTGACGGCGACGGTTTGCTTGGTTTCGTTGTGGATGCTGTTTCCCCCGTTTAGTTAGTGGAGGGAAGAAGGGAAGGAAGAGGGGGGGGAAGGAAACCCTTTGTAGACACTCCCGAAGCTGCCCTTGCCGACGAGCTCCAGCACGGTGTAGGGCACGTCGGGGGGCACGCCGGTCATCTCTTTGCGGACGGCCTTTTCGGAGTCTGGGGGTCGGGGGTGTTAGTTCTCTTGCATGTTGTTGCTGGGGGGGTGTGAGGGGAGGTACTTTCGCGCACTCGCAGCGCGCGGTCGGTGGCGGAGGCTGCGGACATGGCCATGGTGTTTGTGGGAGGGAGGGGTTCAGGGGGGTGGGGGTGTTGTATGGCAGGCAGGCAGGTAGGTTAGAGGTAGGTATGGATGGGTGCTGGCCGTGTCGATCGTCCGTTGGGTTGGGTTGGGTTGGGCCCGCTCCCGCACTCCCGCTGCTCTGCTGTGGTGTTGCTTTTTCCGGCACGATACGATATGATACGATCGGCGGGTGTGGAGGGCGTGGGTGAGTGTGAGTGTGTGTTGGGGGAGAGCTGTTCGAAAGAGAGAGAGCTGGCTGGGTGTTGATTGATAGCAGAGTTGTGTTAAGTGGAACGAGACGACGAGGGGAAGGGGATGGATGGATGGATGGATGGACGGGGGTGTTTGTTACACGGGCACGGGTGAGAAGTGAGATATGCGGGGAATGCTCTCTGTTCTGTGTTCTGTTCTGTGTTCTATGCTGTGTTCTGTTCTGTGTTCTCTGCTCTATGCTCTGTGCTCTGTGTTCTTGCTCTGTGTTCTGCTGTGTTCTGCTGTGTTCTGTTCTGTGTTCTATGCCCTGTGTTCTAGTTCTGTTGCACCTGCAGTTCTGCTCTCTTCTCGAATCTCAACCCACCACTGACTGCTACATAGAGAAAGTGAAGTGAAGTGAAGTGATGAACGTGTGAGGAGGCTCTCGGTTGCCGGGCTGGCTGTGCCTACACATGTAAAGTAGAACCTTAGCGAAAGTGAGACATGCACCGCAGAGATGAAATAAAAAAAATATGACAGCCCAAGGACACAAACAAGCTTGATGCCTGCTGCCCCCAATCCTTGATTCGCACCCGCGATCGCGCATGCGCGAGATCTAGGCTTGAGCTTGAAATACACAGACACAGCAGCTTGAAACGGGCAGGTGGTTGATGCACTTGGTGCTGTTCATCTCGACTTTCTGCGGGTTTGTCTAGTTGATGGCCATTGATTGACACAAACATCGCATCCAGAGACATCATCCATCTACCTACAGGCAGAGACAGACAGACAGACACAGACAGAAGAAGAGACAGAGCCAGAGGCGCGAGTGCTCCCCCGTGACGCGCCCTCACGTGACACGCTCACCACCCGTCCCGTCTCTCCACCAACTCTCCATCTCTCACACTCACACTCACTCACATTCACCATCACCACCACCACAACTACACCCCCCCACACACACACATGGCACCCACCCCCCACCGCCCCCCAACATCCACCCCCCCACCGCCCTCCCCACCCCCGCCGACCTCCACCACGCCCGCACCCTCTCCCAAGCCCGCCTCAAGCAGTCCTGGGAACGCATCTTCACCCGCTTCAGCCACGACTTTACCGGCATCGCAGACGAAATCGATAACGCCACCGGCGCCCTCCTCGTCGACAACGGCCACCTGCGCAGCCTTGCCGACGCCGACCTCGCCATGGAACACAACCCCAACGCCGACCACAACTCCGACGACAACTTTAGCACCGACGACGAGGACGACGGCTGCACGCAGTGCGCCGACCGCGACGAACTTGATAGTACTAACTGCCGCCACGGGCCAACGAGGGAGCAGATACTCTCCTGGACGCCCGCACACGTACACGCGCACCTTGTTACGCTACGTGGCGCGGGGGGGGTTGATAGTTGCGATTTGAGCTTCCAGCTGCAGAAGCATGATGTTGACGGGCGCGCGCTGGGGGTGCTGGCACGCGGGGAGATGGAGACGAAGTTGCGGCTGAGGGGGGCGGGGGCGGTGGGGGTTGTGTGGGGGGAGGTGAGGCGGTTGCAGGGGATACTGCGTGGTGAGCAGGAGGAGGAAGAGGAACAGGAGGAGGAGGAAGGGGGGGAGGATGCGTGGGCGCCACCGCCGAGGGAGGCGGATCCGTTTTATTGTGCGGCGTGGCGCGACGAGCATCCGGATGGGACGCCGGCTGCGTTTCTGGGGAAGCGCCGGCGCGGGGAGGATACGGGGGCGGGGGGAGTGTGGGTGGGAGGAAGAGGGTTAAGGTTGTGAGGGTTGGGGCGCCGAAGGAGGTGGAGGTGGGGGTGGGAGGGGCAGTGAGGAGGATGGCGTTTGAGGTGGCTATACCTGCCCGGACGCCGATTACAGAGCGGGAAACGGGTGGGAGTAAGAAGACGCCCGGAAAGGCGGCAAAGCCTAAGAAGCACGCTGTGGAGACCCCCGGACATGCATCGAGCAGCAAGACCCCCGCGCTGAAATCAATCCTCAAGGAAACGGGCACTCCCGCAACCGCAGCTGCGGCGCCGTCGGAATCTACAACTATAACTACAACTACGACTGCAGCTAAAACACCCTCGAGATCGGCGACCAAGAAGACGGCTTCGAAGTCCACCGCCGCCCCTACCCACACGCCAGCTGCTGCTGCGAAATCTACAACAAAAACGCCGAAAGCTAGAACCTCACCAGTTAGCATTAGCACACCCGCCGCCGCCGCCGTTAAGACGGTCTCGAAAACACCACTGTCCAAGACACCACAGTCAAAGACAAAGACGTTCTCGAAATCCACCGCCGCCGCAGCACCAGCATCCAGAACCAGAACGCCTGTAACTAAAACTAAAACGGCAACGGCAACGGCAACAGCTAAAACACAATCACAATCACAATCACAATCACCACCACCAGCTACTAGTACAGCGGCCAAAACGCCCCCGAAACCAAAACCCACACCCACCACCGCATCAAAACCAGTCTCCAAAAAGACCCCAAAAACCCCACTCTCCAAGAAGACCCCCAAGACATCCATATCAGAGCCCGAAACACCCGGCTGGACAACATCTATCGCGCGCAACAAGCTTAAGGGGCAGAGCTTCCTCGGCTTCGCGGGCTTCGCGGGCGCAGACGGTGATTATGAGGATGAGCTGGCGTCGCCGGGGCCTGATGAGAAGGGGCGGGTGAAGAGGAAGAGGAGGAGTGGTGGTGCGGAGAAGGAGAAGGAGAAGGAGGCTCTGGAGGAGGAGGTGGTGGTGGCGGTGGCGGTGGCGGAGGGGAAAGTGGGAGAGGAGGAGGTGGCAGGGAAGGATGCTGGGGAGGAGAATGGCGCGCCAGACAGCGCTGTGGCCACCGCTACCACCGCAGGCATCGAGTCTGCCGCGCCTACACCAGCGGCCGACCCAGCGGCCGATGCAGCGCCAGAACACTCGGCCCCTACCACCACCCCATCAACACCCGCCGACTCCGGCTCTGCATCCATGGAGGAAGAGGCTGCACCACCACCGGCAGCGGCAGAGGCTCAGAAAGAGTCCTCCTCAGAAGCCACGCTAGGCACCGGCGGCGGAAAGAGCACTAGGCCGCCACATGCGTGCAACAAGAAGAGGGGCTTCTGCTTTGTGTGTATGGATCTGGAGGGGGAGGAGGATGATCTCATTTAGCTTTTCTTTTCTTTTCTTCAATGCTACTGTTTGTTTCGCCACTCTGCATTTGTGGGTTGTGGGTTGTGGATATTATTATGGCGTTGGGTTTTAAATTGGGGGGAGTAGCAGCTAGTATACATAGTACATACATTACAGTAGGTAGTTTAGATTGGCGTAGTATAATTTAGAGGAGTAATGCGTGCAGAACAGGGGGGAGTTGGTGAGGGGGTGGTAATGGATTGGGGTGACCAGCTATATATGCAGCTAGCTGCCATGAAGTCTCCAATACCTCTATGTAGATCTGCAATGAAGCTCCGCTAGCTGCCGCCTGCAACACTACTAGCTACATGGTGAGATGTGTGGGCAGGGAAGGCGGCGGCGGCAGCGATGGTGGGGTGGTGGTCAAACATCTGGATCACAATTTCTCACACCTTATTGATGGATGCCTGACTGCTAACTAATAGCCTACTACATACATGTATTAGGTCTATCCACTACTATGGTAGTACTTAAAGGCATCTCACACTCCATTGATGCCTGCTACCTAGCTTTAAAGGGGAGGGATGTGAGTGGTGCCGGTGTCAAGCACCTGAATCACATCAATGAGTTGAACAAAAAAAGTATCTGAATCACCTCCATTGCTAATGGCTTACTATCGATATCCTCTACAACACCGGCCATCCATGGTAACACTTAAAAGGGATACTTGTATGTACAAGGAGTCCCAACTTAAGGACAGGGAAGCATCTGAATCACAGATCTCACACTCCGCTGATGCCTGATCACTGCCTACCTGCTAACTAGAGTACAGTCGTCCACAGGGTGAAGACGAACACTGGGTGTAGACGAACAAGGATTTTTGGACAAATAGAAAGATCACTTGGGCAGCTTGGCTGTTTCTTGCCATATTGAGAACCCTGGTTCGTCTTCACCCAGTGTTTGTCCTCACCCTGTGAACGACTGTAATCTGCTACCTTGTAGCACCAACCCACCACCATCCATGGTAGCACGCAAAGGCCGGACACAAGGAAAGGGATCTGAATCACAACATCTCACACACACACACCCCACCCCCCATCGATCCCATCCATCACCCACCATCACTCTGGTCCTTGCTAACTGATAGCTTACAATCAAACCTACCCTACATATCGATCACTGCACCTCCCCACCCCTCAACCCCTGGTAGAGTAACACAACAACCAAAGAGCCAGTAGCGATGCCATTTCCCCGTATCTCAGACGCCACCAAAAAGCAAGCAACAGGCGTGTCCGCCCACGATTCGGGCAGGGTTAGGGCTCCCCAAAAGCAAGGGCCTCGATGTATGTCCTCCACCAGAAACCGTACGCATCCCTGGCGGGCGCCCCGAACATGGAAGCCCCACACGATCGAGAGTCTCAGTGGCTTTTTTTTTTGTAGGTAGATTCAGGTAGAGTAGCAGTACTCTAAGTAGCAGGTGTGTCTAAGAAGTAGGGAGTTGAGTACTTAACCCGCGCTGCTGCTGCATTCTCCTTTTTTTTTTTTTTTTTTTTGCTTTCTCTTTTGTTTGGTTTGTTACCTTGGCTTTTTTTGGTTTGGGATGTTGGTGATGATGAAGATGCATCCTACTACTGCTGCTACCACGACGAGAGACTCGACTGCTGCTGCTGCTCACGGCGCAGGCATTGGGGTCTCGGACGCGCTCTCGACGCCGAGGGAGATGGGGAATGGCTACTACAAGTCTGGGGAGCTGCTGGAAGGTAACTACCAAATACTTACATAGCTATAAAGCTTATCATTACCACATTACCCATTCCCCCCCCCCCCCCCCACAAAGCTCAAACCTACCCCGCGATACTCATGATCATGAAAGCTCTGAATATTGACCGAGGGGAATTGGAAATTGCCCAAAAACAACAGCAATTGAACAGTACACGCTCGCCTGCGCCGCCAACCCGACCTCGGCGCTGCTACGCTTCAACCTCTCGGCCGCCCAGTTCGAGACGGGGCAGTATACGGCGTCGCTCCAGTCCACCCAGGCCGGCATCGAGCTGTGCGGCGCTGCTGCTACTGCTGTCAACGACGACGGGGGTGGGGGGGAGCTCCTCGCGAAGCTGTGGCTGCGTAGAGCTAGGTGCGAGCTCCATCTACGCAACTACGGGGCTGCCGGGGAGGCTGCAAAACAGGTTTCTAGGATTGGGAGGGCGCCGGAGAGCACGCTGAGGGATGCGGAGGAACTAGTGAATGCGGTTGAGGTAGCGATATACTACCATTCGTTGCTTTCGGAGGAGGAGGCGCTGAGAATCGTGTTTGAGGTTCCGAAATATAGGCCCAAGCTGTGAGTGAGATGTCTTTTGATTGGGCTCGCTCAATGGATGGGATGGGATGGACGGGACCGGAAGCTGACGAAAGAGAGGAGCATAGGTCTACGAATGTCTTAGAATATTATAACCTCGGCCATGACGTTGCACAGTCCCAATTCGACCCCTCAAATGATTCGGCGGGAGCTACACACTCGTTTTTCTTCAGTCGTGTAGGCGACTCACGACATCTACTTGCAACAATTTTTGCAATCTCCCATCACGAGCTGTCCAATGAGAGTGCTTTCCAGCAAACCCGCCCCGCAAGCTCCCAAGTCAAATATCACTTTACACTGAACGACACAAAAGCTCATGCTGCTGCACGAAATGTCTTGATGCTACTGCTGATGCGCCAGCTCACCATATTCGGGCAAGATCAGCAGCAGGCAAGGACCGACACTCTTGCATTGCTGTACTACATTTACCTTGGCGTGCTTATTCCCGCAAGAGTACATGGGCACCTTCAGGAGTTTATACAAACGACCAGGACTGCGCTCACTACAGCACCAGCCAGTCTTCCGTCATGGTTATGGATCTCGCAGCGGGACTGCATCAAAATAATAGAGATTCTCGATAGCTGGGTGGAGCCCATGTTCCCGGTTACGCATGCACAAGCCCAGATTTCGGAGGCGGAAAGGGTCATGCCGCAGGGAGAAAAACCCAAGGGGTGCGAGCGGGAGTGGACCGCCTACCGGCGGACCGGCGCACTATTCCCACCAATGGCAATACGGTGTCACGAGAGTGAGCTTGACGCATTCTTGGCTGGGGGCCCGGGGGTGGGAGGTCCGGGGATGGCCGCTTGGGAGGCCGGATTGAGGGCGTATGTGGGCCGGGAGTGGAAGGTGAACATGACCTTGGTTGACCGGGAGTGGTGTACAGAGTAAGTTGGTTATTTCGTCCAGTCATGTGGACCGAGTGATACTTATGATTGTGAACAGGGCCGGGGTGTGGGATGTTTCGTTCGACCCTTTCAGTTTCGTGGAAATGCTCTATGGTAAAGTCGATATATCACTCCCACAGGAACCGACACAGCTTTATGACTATTTTGAGCCTTTATTTATAAGGATGGCCAACTCGCTTCACCATTTCGGGGGCATATTTAAGATTGAGCTGAACGTCGGTGACTGCTGCGGCGCTTTAGAAGAGATCAGGTATGGGAGTAAAGCTTTCAGGAGGGACGTTGAAAGACCAATCGACTTTCCTCGTACATATGACACCATCCATCTCAGTAATCTTCCGTAAGTCACTTTTATGCTGGAAAGGATAGTTCTTTTGGGCTGATTTTGTAGTGACTATACCGGTGGTCACCTATCCCCGGTTCTATACGCCCTCCCAGTGCTTAAAGATGCCCCACATGCACACATAACTTCCATATGCCAAGTAAATCCACCGTTATGGCAATCCATCGAAGACTATGTTGCAGAGTACGTTTGTCTTCCCACTTTAGATAGACTTCAAGCCGCCACATGCCTGAGGCTATGTCCGGGACAAAATGAAAGACTACACGAGTTCATGCCCATGAGTGAATATACCTGCTGGCAGCACAGCACCTCAAAGCCACTGTCATACAAGGAACTTCTCCCCCGGACTGTATTCACCAGGTGGCTCCTCACATTATTCTTCAAATTTGCGGTCCCGCCCAATAGCGAGTCCCGTTCAATGGCAAAGGTTTACTCTCCTCTTAATCTAAGTGCTTGGGTACGGCTATTAGGGCGAGTAGTTGAGATTGGATATCCTCCGCACTGGGTTTCAAGTCTTGTCGAAGACATCCTCGCAAACCGCGTCATGACAACAATTCGACCGCCAGAAATAACGCCAATCCGGATTCCAGAGCTCGAGAAGGAACACCCACCCCAAAAAGTCTCAACATCCCCTTTCATCCCAGAGCTAGAAGTCCTGCTGTGCACGTGGGCACGGATTAGCCCCTTCACAATAGTTTCTCCAGCACACATACCTCCGCCAGAGCAGATATACGAGTATAGCTTCACTATCCTTGCTCCCCAGTTCCGCGATGAGTTTGTAAATTGCCTCATGCTAAAGTTCTACCCCGAGCGTATCCTTGAGGAGCTACACAAGACAGGCCATGGCAAGCGCAAGACGTGTGTGCGGGAGATGCTGTCCTCGACAGGGAGGCGGTCACCTAACAAGTGTGCCATGCGAGAAGCAGCGATTGTAATAGGGACATGGTGGTGGGACAAGAAGACAAGGCGGGTGACGTTCAGACTGAAGGAGGGGTGGATTGAAGGATGGCAGGAAGAGGACAAATGGGTGGCTGCGTTGTGGAGATTAGACGACTGGACGATGTGTAGTGCACCGACCAGCCTTGGAGGGGGTAATTTGCAGAAGTCTGCTCTGCCGTGGGGGGAGCGGACGAAGATGGGGTGTGGGGAGGCGATGGAAATGGATTAGAACGGTTTAGGGGGGGGGGGGGGCACGAGTGATATTTTGTGTATGTATATGATATCATGGTCACGGAATATATTTCTTTTTTGCCTGCGGTATTGTGAGGTTAGATTTAGTCTCTTTTTTTTCGAATTCCTTTACGAAGAAGGTTCTATTCATTGTGTAATTGAGGTTCCTTCAGTCTCTCACTTTCGGTATCCTAACAAGTTTATTATACCTCGATGCCCAGGCTTACAGCATACGTGTATTCTTCTTTCAGGGCGTACCTTTTCCGTG